ACCACATACATACTGAGAATAGGGGATGAATTGGATATAATTATTCTCCTTTTCCCTCGAGATTGCTGGCGGCATTCCTGGTGGTGCGGGTACCCTAAACCTCTACTTCCACGTAATTGCACAGGGCCTGTGGTGGACCTTTGGGGCATATGCCTGGAGTTTCCGAAACAAATGTGTGTGTACAAGTATACGGACAGTATTATCTGTACGGGAATTAAACATGCTTGACACATTTGACGTATTGTTGTCATGCTTAGTAGTATTAAATTGATATATATATATATATATATATATATATATATATATATATATATTACATCATATATAATATGATGCTATATATCATATGATAATATACATAATATAATAATATATGATATGATAGTACATAAAAAACTTATCGATTTAATGCTACAAAGCATGACAACAATGTGTCAAATTTGTCAAGCACGTGAAATGCCCGCGCAGATTATACTGTACGGCATCATGTGTGTGGTGTTTTGGTAACTCAGAAATGACTGCGAATGAATTAATTAGACTTAACGATGTAATAGACGCTAGTGACGATTCACTTTCCTGGCTTATTTGCCTATGCTTTGCTTGCTGTTTTATATGGCTTATTTGCCTATGCTTTGCTTGCTGTTCTATTTTTATGGCCTCTCCGTCCTTTTCCCCCAAATAACTCGGAGCCGAATATTCACGGACTACTGAATGATGACGGAAGGCCTAGACGAACGGCTGCTAAGGAACCCATCTCGGCGCAATATGACGAAAGTTTGATTAGTCCCTTGTAACAGCTTGCTGGAATAGGCGCCTTAACTTTCGCTTCCTCTGGTCGAGAACACTCCAGCACATAGGCACGGCTGGGAAGTGGCTGCGCTGCGTTGTCAGCGTTGTTGTCGGGCTTCCGGTATGTTATATTGCTCGTCCGCCTCCCGCCGGGCTTGAAGTTGTGCGAAATAATGAACTTGTTGAAGCGTCTGCCTTCTTGATAAACACGGGCCAGCCCCACTGCGCCAGAACTAAACGAATCTTGTCCTCATACATTTCCAGGAAGTGGTCCTTTGAGATGTGATGGGCAAACAGAAGGCAGCGATGCGGGCGTCTGGTGTTGTTCAGTGCGCTCCAGACAACAGCCTCGTCTCCGCTATTGATGCCGATTATAATGGCCCGTCGCGTCTGCCTGTGACTGTCTCGCCGTCTAGCACGGCACGCTCAGATGACGGCGATCTCTGCGATCTCTGCGATCTCTGCGATCTCTGCCGATCCGCGATCTTCGCAATCCTGGTGGGGTCTTGGTCGAGGTTCTTCCAATAGGTCTGGATGCGATGGTGATGATTTCCCTGGTGGATACTTGTTACTGGCCGAAACATTATGGCAATCCGGCCGCAGTCGAACTTGGGGATGGGGGTCGCTCGTCAAGTAAATGAATTCGAATTCAGTGCAGTGATTTTCAAAACGTAAAAAGTTTCTCGCGCATCACTTCCCATGTCTTCCTGTATCGCCCAACACGTGCACGCGATGAGATATCAATGAGCCACTTCCAAGCACCTGCACCGGCTTATTTCAAATAATAAGATAATAGCTCATATTAGCCGCATTTTTGCGGGGCTAGGCGTGATAAGTCCTGACGCAACGCATTATACGTAACGATAAGTAACGCATTCCATTGGGACAATCCGAATATGTGCGCCGTCACTGTGGATGAGATCTTTCAGATCCATCCAAAGGGGTACTCGTGCGGGGCCGTCGCAATGCTGCGCATAGCCGCCTGGCGTGGCTGGAAGTGTCTGCGCGATGAATGTGACATTCCCTATTTATGACGCGTCTGCTTCTGTGACGTTTGTACTCATTCATCACTCACCATGAGCGAAACGTCGATTTATTTCAAACGAGCAACTGCCACGCGCACTGGTGGAGCAAGTCCATTGAGTTTAAATTCATTTCATATATGCTCTCCAAGAATTGCAAGTCCGGTAACATTGTTTGCCCATTGCCAACCTTCGACTCGTAAGAAATGCAATGGGAAAGAATGTTCTGTGCGTGACTTTGGTGACAACGTTGTCTCGGGTGCACTCGGGCACTGTGACGAGACGGGACAGTCATATAGAGATGTCATTCCTCAGTTGTTAACTGTCGACTGGCGAGGTGCTAAAAGAAGTTGCGCTATGACCTACGGCAATCTCCCGTCGTCATGACCTGGGGCAATCTCCCGTCATTATGACCTGGGGCAATCTCCCGTCATTATGACCTGGGGCAATCTCCCGTCATTATGACCTGCGGCAATCTCCCGTCATTATGACCTGCGGCAATCTCCCGTCATTATGACCTGCGGCAATCTCCCGTCATTATGACCTGGGGCAATCTCCCGTCATTATGACCTGCGGCAATCTCCCGTCATTATGACCTGGGGCAATCTCCCGTCATTATGACCTGCAGCAATCTCCCATCATTATGCGAGCATGCCATGCGCGAGGTTTGCCACAGCTGACATGGCTGGTGAGGTCAGGACCCCAATAAGCTTTGGAATACATGTCTATTCGGGAACTTTGGCTATATAATTAAGGCAGACAGAACCCCAGAAACCTTCAATTCCACTTCCACTTCCACTTCCACTTCCACTTCCACTTCCACTTCCACTTCCACTTCCACTTCCACTTCACTTCCACTTCCACTTCCACTTCACTTCCACTTCCACTTCCACTTCCACTTCCACTTCCACTTCTACTTCCACACTTCCACTCACACTCACACTCATGGTGGAAAAGCAAATGTTGGCCTTGATCTGGTGAAGGGGGGGGGAAGGGCACCCAACTTTATGAAGTAGGCCACAACAGGGGTGATGAAACAATTTTTAATGTATGCCAGGGGTAGTTTAGCCATTTTCCATCAGTCATCTCCTCCATTCCAACTCATTTTGCTAACCATACCCTCGGCTTCCGCCGCAACCAGAACTGGGTGTGATGAATGCTCTTTTAACCAATATTGCTGCAGATGCGCTGTGGGGCACAAGACCCCAGCTGCCGTCGTGAGGTTGGACACCGTCAAGCCAGTCGTGTACACGATGTTGCGGCCGGTCGTCTCGTGCGGCCCTGACCTGACCCGTGAGCCGGTCCTGTCGCAGACACTCGGCCGGCGCCAAGACTCGGCGCCGGGCGTCACGCTGCCACAGAAGCCGAAGATGCCCCGCTCCGGCTACATCAGGTTCGTCGCCGAGACCATGGCCAAGCTGAAGACGGAGGCGCCCGGCACCAAGTCTTCAGGTGAGCCGGGATGGCGCCGAGTGCTGCCGCCTCCCGTCCCCCGCCGCCGGGTGGGGACTGTGCGGTCCTGGTCTGGGGCGGGGTCTGGCGGAACTGCACGGCGGACTGACCGGGCTGGCCGGCTGCGTGTCCTCTCGTCGCGCGGGTCTAACGGGCGTCGGTTTGTGGGGCAAGCTTGGTCAGGAAGGCCGCTCGTGAGATGTCCGGTCCGGCACAGCCCCCGCCTCCCCATTAAGTCACGCCCGGGGTGGTCAGTCATTATTTTCGATGTTTTTTACCGGGTGTAACTACTGCATGTTAATGCATATTTGGAAAGGAGGCAGGTCCAGTTTATGCCTGAGTGACCACGCCGACAAAGCGTAGAAACACCGTCAGCGTGATCAGCAGTTAATTGTCACAGAAAGAGCCACGGCTCATTCCATGGCAAAGCGTAATGCAGTGGTGAGCAGAGTGCCTGCTGCTAACTTTCTTCAGTTGCGCCGGGCGTTGGAGCGCTAACTTGCCTTATTTGGAGCGTCCGCAGCGTCGGCTGTCACCGTCCGGCCGTGACGTCATCACTCCCGTGCTCTCCAGACATGGTGGTGAAGGCGTCGAAGCTCTGGAGGGAGCTGGATCCCGCTGAGCGGAAGCGCTTCAACGACGCGTCCGCCGCCGAGAGGGCCAAGTGGCACGTAAGACCAACGCGGGTTGTACACGACGCGGCTGAGGATTGTGATGAGCTGTCAGGGGGAGCTTTCAGGGGGATCTGAAACCTCGAAATAGTCGTGTGCTCCGGGTCTGGTCCGTGTGCCCCGGGTCTAGTCCGTGTGCTCCGGGTCTAGTCCGTGTGCTCTGGGTCCGTGCTCTGCAACGCGTCGTGATGCCATGCTTTTCTGGCGTCGTTTTGCAGATGACAGTGGCAACGTAGTGGCAGTGTACTTTACTCGCACAGGTCGCCGAATTTGGTCACGTCTCCCTGGTGATGATAATGAAGGTAATCATGTCTTCTTTCCACTTAGCAGTTCATGACGGTGTGTGTGAGTTTGGCTTGCCTTGTCGGGTCATGACTCAGACGCCGTCATCCTCTGCATCTGATGGCGTCCGCTTACACTCGCCTGACTCGGGACTCACTGGTCCGAGACCGCTGGGGGCGACCTCTGACTCGGGACTCACTGGTCCGAGACCGCTGGGGGTAACCATCTGACTCGGGACCCTTGAACTCCGCCGCTCCTCTCCTTTTCCGTCAGAAGAGGACTGCATGTCGCTCCCCCACCGCGTCCCCCACGCCCCCATGCCCCCTTCCACCAGGAACGGGTGACGAGTTCATCTCCCCCGATCCCGTCGAAGGTACCCACGTCTCAGCAGCGCACGAGATAGCTTCCGCTCACCCCGCCAATCCCGTCATAAGTTTGTACGCGCTCCCCTCATCTCTCCCTCCCTTGCGGCAGCCAGTCGCCGCCCTTCCCCCTCCCCCATTTACCACTTGTGCTCCGTCAAAAGGTCCTCATCACCCCAGCCCTGCCCCCGCCCACCAGGGGAAGGTGGCCGCGTTCGAGAGCGTGACCAGCTGGTGGTCCTCGTCACCCAGCCCTGCCCCGCCCCACCAGGAAAAGGTGGCCGCGTTTGAGAGCGTGACCAGCTGGTGGTCCTCGTCACCCCAGCCCTGCCCCGCCCCACCAGGAAAAGGTGGCCGCGTTTGAGGCGCAGCTCAGCCAGCGCGAGCGTGATCAGCTGGTGGCCGAGCGGCAGCGGCAGCGCGACCGGCAGAGGGAGAGCGGCAGCGGCGCCAGCGGCGGCGCCAGCTCACCGACCTGCAGCGGCCGCGCAAGCCGCCCAACTCCTTCATGCTCTTCTACATGGAGCGCGTGCCCGAGCGCAAGGACATGCACCAGAAGGTCGGCAGCGGCGGGCGCAGGCGCGCTGGATTGGAGGTGGTCGGGGGAGTGGCAGGCCACGGCTGGACGAGCGGGGGATGGGGAGAGGTAGGGGAAGTGGTCGGGAAGGGGAGGCCACGGCTGGACGAGCCGGGTAATGGAGGTGGGTGGGATGGGGTGGGGAGGACGGGGTGGGTGGGTGGAATATCCGCCTTGTCTAACGCGAGCGTATAATTCGCCGCTGGGAGTGGGAGATTGGAGAACAAAGCTGGGTCCAGAAATGAGAGATTGTTTTGTTTCCCGGTCATTTCCCGGTTTCTTGATACGTCAGCCACTGGGTCACCGGCGCGACACGGGCTGGGCGGCGAGCAGGACCGTGACCCCGTCCTGCTCCGTTTCAGGAGTTCCTGGCGGAGATTGGCAAGCGCTGGGCTGGCATGAGCGAGGAGGATAAGTTTCCCTACGTCAAGCGGTTCCAGGACCTGAAGGTACGGTCGCCGGTGTCGCACACGCCGGTGTGCGACACTGCTGTCCGTTTTCGTCTGCTCGGGTGTGCGTGCCCTGATGGTGCCGTCCGTTCCACTCGATCAGACTTTGTGTTCGGTTTGTCTCAACGGAGTGGCTTTGTCTGCGCCTTCTTTCAGCGTGCGTGCAGTCCGTGAGCTTGTGACGTCACAAGCGCGCGGATTTTTTCCGAAAAACACGGACGACGTGGCTGAAAAGCTTGGCACTGCTGCTCCTCTGATCTCAATGGCCATGATTGGTGATGGGGTCTGCTTCGTACATTCCCGAGATTGACTCGTGCTGCCATGGCCAATGGGTCAGATCGCTGTGTGTTTAACTGACTTGCAGCAGGAAGCTAGTTCATCTCTCATTTTTTGCCCGCATCGGTTCTGTGCAGGAGACGTACGCCAAGGAGCTGGAGGCTTGGGAGAAGCGAATGATCAAGGAGGGACGGTCCGATCTCGTCCGGAGTGAGTATTCCGACCAGGGGGGGGGGGGGGGGGGGGCGCCGGGTAGACCTGAGCCAGTGACCGGGAGTCCGTAGTGAGTAACCCCAGACCGCCAGGGGGCAGACCCAGAGCGGACCGCTGGGCTGGGACTGAGCCAGTGATCGTGATCGAGGAGCCTACGCTCTGTTGGTGCTGTGCTGCCGGTGATTGCGTGCCACGTGATCGAGGAGCCTACGCTCTGTTGGTGTGTGCTGCCGGTGTTTGCGTGTCACGTGATCGAGGATCCTACGCTCTGTTGGTATGTGCTGCCGGTGTTTGCGTGCCACGTGATCGAGGAGCCTACGCTCTGTTTGTGTGTGCTGCCGGTGTTTGCGTGCCACATGATCGAGGAGCCTACGCTCTGGTTGTGTGTGTGCTGCCGGTGTTTGCGTGCCACGTGATCGAGGAGCCTACGCTCTGTTGGTGTGTGCTGCCGGTGTTTGCGTGCCACGTGATCGAGGAGCCTACGCTCTGTTGGTATGTGTGCTGCCGGTGTTTGCGTGCCACGTGATCGAGGAGCCTTCGCTCTGTTGGTGTGTGCTGCCGGTGTTTGCGTGTCACGTGATCGAGGAGCTTCGCTCTGTTGGTGGTGTGCTGCCGGTGTTTGCGTGTCACGTGATCGAGGAAGCCTTCGCTCTGTTGGTGTGTGCTGCCGGGGTTTGCGTTGCCGAAGGGGAATTACTTTCTCCGCTTCTCCCTGCACGTGCATGAGTTGAATTAGAATGACCGGGAGTCGACATGTGAGAGCATTGACCTGTGGGGCAGCGTGTTTTTGTACACGGAACCGTGTGGAATTGTGAAAGGTCGTCGCATCGTCATGAACCAGACACGTTGCCAGTGACAAACATAGGAACGGCCCAAATGATAGGTCGCTAAACATGCAGGCATTCCTTGTGCTGAATCGACAGTTTCTTCACTTAAGCCAAAATCTGCTTGCATAGGCATTGCTAGATTGAAGGCCTTTTCGTTTTGTGTGAAAGAAAACTTATTGTTCTTGACGTTTTAAAACCGAATTTGACCCGATGCTCGTTGGACCCGACGCTGGATGTTTTTCCTGCTGCAGCAGGGCGCCTGCACCAGCTTTGGCCTGACCTGACCCTTGACCCCGTCGTCAGCCGCCTCTCAGCCGGTGCTCGCCGAGGAAGAGGTCACCAAGGGTCGCCACCGATAGGACGGCGCCGGCGGTGGCGGCGGCGTCCGGCGCGCGGCAAGGTCAAGTCGGGGGTTATTGCTGGGATGGAGGTCAAATCGGGGGGCAAGACCAAATCAGAGGTCAAAACGGGGTTAATGGTCGAGCGAGAGGTCACGCCCGGAGTCGAGGTCACGAAGACTGCTCCGAAGTCCAAGGTCAAAGTTACACCTAAGGCGGAAGTGAAGCCCAAACCTGCACCCAGGTCCAAGGCCAAGACCGCATCCAAGGCCGAAGTGCAGTCCAAGGCGGTACCGAAGCCCAAGGCCAGGGTCGCACTCAATGTCGAACTGAAGCCCAAGTCCTCACCGAAGACGAAGTCAGTGCAGCCACGTCTAAGATCCCACCGAAGCCGGAACGCGAGCGAACAGCCGGGCCCGAGCCCAGCGCCGGGATCCCAGCCCAGCCCTCTGCGCCGGCCGCTACAGGGGCATTGCGGAGGTGTCGGCGGCTGGCGCGGAGGCGGTCCGCGACGCGTTCCAGTTGGTGCCGTTGGCCCCTGGGCCGCCGCCGCCGCCGCCGCCGCCGGCCGCGGGTCCGGCGCCGGAGCCGGAGCCGGAGCTGGAGCCAGAACCAGAGCCAGAGCCAGAGCCGGAGCCGCAGCCGCAGCCGCAGCCGCACCGCACCGCAGCCGCAGCCGGAGCCGGAGCCGGAGCCGGAGCCGGAGCCGGAGCCGGAGCGGAGCTGGAGCCAGAACAGCCAGAGCCAGAGCCAGAGCCGGAGCCGCAGCCGGAGCCGAGCCGGAGCCGGGCCGGAGCCGGAGCCGGAGCCAGAGCCAGAACCAGAGCCGAGCCAGAGCCGGACCGGAGCCGGAGCCGGAGCCGGAGCCGGAGGAGCTTTTCCGGCTGTCGGCCGGTGTAATCGGACGGAGGGCCGCCTGGCGTCCGCTCTGCACCCCTCGCTGCTGGTCGCCATGACTGACAGTCGCCGCGAGGGGACGCTCGCCTCGGCTCTCAGTCACGGCTCCGGGTCACTGTCCCCGGCCATGTCACGGTCCCGGCTCGGTCTCAGACGCGTTATGTTGCGGGTCCTCCGGCACCGTTGGACTCTGGCCAGTCTCGGACTGGGCTGAACGAGAGTCGTACAGGGGCGGCGGGGGGCTAGCGGCCGGGGCCGGGTGGGATAGGTTGGGAGGGTCGGGAACCCGGGGCTGTCAGGTGACACAGCCCCCGCTGACGGGTGCGATCTGCCGCCAAAGCTGCGCTGCCCAGCGCGGGCACGCTCGCGGAGCGCAGCCGGCTGGTGAGCTGGCTGTGGAAGAGCAGCAGTCGGGAAAACGGGCTGGCTGAGGGCTGGCAGCCGGCTAGTGATGAGCTGGCTGAGGACTAGCAGCAGTGGGGAAGACAGGCGCCGTTTTGGCGCGACTTCAGTGCTTCTGGCGGGAACAAACACCGACGCGATTACTTCTAGAGTTGCACGCGCTCAGCACGCGCTGGGTCAGCTGGCTGTTTTTTTCGTCAAGTTGGGTTTTTGGTCTAGGTACTGTCGCGAATCCCTTCCGATGACTCTTTCATTGTCCAAACATGTTTTGCAATGCCCTATGCCGCCAACTTTCCTGTTGGAGCCTGGTCTCTCGTCTGTTTTGCCGCTGCCACTGCCATCTGTTGGTTTGCCGCCATCGCCACAGGCGGCGGTGGGTGTTGCCTCCCGCCCGGCGAATGTCCCGGGCAAGATTGCAGCTGCTTGTTCTGGCGTTTTTAGAGCTTTTGTACCGTACAATAATGGGCAAGGCTGTGTCCCGAGGGCCACCGAGTTAGAGGTGTTAGCGTGAGCGGGTGATAGCGTGACTGTAGTGTTTCGTCCAAGCTCTGGAATTAAAGGCACGTTTTGCATAGTCAGGTGGTCTGCCCTAGCGCGGGATGCTGGAGACCTTGACAGCGGAGAAGGTCGATGCAATGGTTGACACAGGAAGGCAACCGCCCTTCCGCCACCAGAAAACAACGTGGGACACCCAAATTTTTTTGTCCTTCAGATTCCGCAGCACTTTCTTGCGCACGGGAATGACACCCCACATTGACCAGACTTCTTTGTTTCATTTTCCGGCCGCTGGTGATCGCCCTGAAGTCATCATCAGAGCAGCCGGCCGCCGTTTCGCATGAAGTAGCACGCCAAAGTCATTGGAGATGCTTGTGCGCGCCATAAGTTATGACAGAGGGAAAACCTCTGCAGTGGAAGGGAGCAGATGCTCACGTGGAGAAGAGTGGTACCACGCCCTGTGCCCTTGCAGGCGCAAATGGTGCACACTTCGCGCACGTGGCCGCGCGCGACGCACGCGACATTAAACCCGCCCCGTCACTCAATCGCCAAATAGCGTTCCAATCACATTCCTGGCTTCATGCTGGGGCTATTGTTTGGATTTGCTGGCGGAACCGAACATTGGGTCCTCCGTGCTTCACAACCCTCGCACCGGGCATCGGCTTCCATCCAGGTCCTGGGGGCTTGAGGGCTTCACGAGAAAGGCCCCCCCCCCTACCAGCCTTGCACACTCCCCCCGTTTCGCACGCCTGTGCCCCGCGCCCATCCACCACCATTTCCCAAAAGGCTTTATCAACCCGACCGCATTCTCCAGCTTGTTATTAAGTATGGAAGTCTCAGGGAAATTTGCACCCAAACGACTAAAGTGGTGGGAATGGAGTTCTTACGAAAATAATTGCAAACAACACTGGTATTCCGCGAGATATTTACCCATCATTTGATAGATGCCTTATCCATGCCCGTAATTTTCCCCGGCACATTACCGAGCCAAGCCTGTTAGCCATACAAGGATGTCCATACGCAGAGTCGCACGCATGCATAACCCTCGTAGTGCGAGCTTCCACTCACCAAACGTGCGAGACAAATGAAACGTACATGACTGGCGGCTGGGTCATCTCCAGGTTGACTAACGAAAATAGGGGCTCGAGAGCGTGCGACGCTCCAAACCGGCAGATTGCGCGCGCTTACAGCGGTTTACCACGCTTTCAGCGATAGCTTTTGAGTAGATCGCACCCCCCCCCCCCCCCACAGCAAGTTCCCGCGTGAGCTCCTCCTCCACCCCCAACCTGCCAACCCATCTAATGGACGACACATGACGCCGCGTTTGCTCCTCACTGTTCGCCCTCCCCTAATGCGCTTTACATTTGAAATGTACAGTATCGTACTACTTCGCGACCCCGCGCCGTCGCTGTGCTTGCTGTCAGCGCATTTCACACTGGATAGCACTCCCCTGCACCACCAGCAGTGACATCACCCTACCGTCGTTGGTACGTCATCAGCCGGTGACCCTAGGGGATGACGTCGCGCCGCAGACTTGCACGCCCGCAGGCAAGCATACCGGATGGGAGATGACGCCACGTCCTAGACGTGCGTGTCCACAACGATGTGGACACGCAACCACGTGGACATGTGCAACCATCCGCAATTCCCAATGTTGCCAGTTACGGCACGCTCAACGAAACGCGTCGTTTCGTACAAAAACTGTATTGCAGCTCCTCACAGACGCACGTGCGTGGTTGCGCAAAAATCCAGCAAGGTTTCGAACTCCAAGAACGGGACAAGGTCGGCGGCAGAACAAGCACCTACGAGAGGCCACGTCACAACATGAAGACGAATCAGCTTCGGCGACACAGCGGGGGCGGGGCTTCGCGTTCCCGCCGGAATGGCTGTCGAAGCGCGGTTCAAAACGCGGATGGCGCGTGGCAGACAACACAGCTCAGTTGTCGTCGTCCTCGATCTTTGGTGCCAGGAAGTACCGGATGTGGCCAATCTCCTGGATGGTGTACTCGACCATGAGCGGGTACTCAGGCGACATGGACAGTTTCACCTGTGAGCAGAGGGGGGAGGGGAGGGGTGAAAGAGCGCACAGTGATCCAAGCAGCACCATGCAACACACAGACACACACACACAGATAGTAACTTTTGGGACTATCAATGGAAACAAACCTGTGTTGAGAGAGGTGTGGCTTTGGTGAAGAAGTTGAGATAGCGACAGGCATAGGTGAACGACACTGGCTCCTGCATCTCGATGGTCACTGCCTCCTCTTCTTTGTCCACATTTGAAGACTGAGCCAGCTTGACATTTGCTGAAACAAAGGAGTCAACTAAGACATTGAACTTCTTCAACTCCTTGAATAAGATCATGACTATGATGTATTACCTATACACATTCAATCAACCTTTGACCAACCAATGTATGTTCACCATAAAAAAGAAACACATGGTTTCCAGACAAGACAACCAATTTCTGACAAGCATCACTTGGCTAAGAGCTCACCTGAGCCAATGTCTCCCGATGCAGAGAACTTGACTCCCTGCTTGCTGCAGCTGATCACGATGGAGTCTCCAAACTGGCTCAGGTCTCGGCAGATCCGGGCAAATTCACCGGCGGGCATCTTCACCACACACGCATATTCAGTCTCCTGCAAATAATCAATGTGTGCTTTAGGTCTTCAAAACTACAACTGGATGAGCAAGTTGAAGGAAAAAAAGCAGAAACTAATCAATGCAGTTTAAGTTCCACAATTACCAAATTTGCAGGTTTCCAACATTCATGCAATCAACTGAAAATTCATTCAAGCAATGCCAGATATGAACAGTGGTGCAATAAACAATGAGATATGCTGTTAGTTACATAAGAATCATATACAATCCAAAACTAAATCTAGTTTCAAGTTTCAACACAAGGTGCAGTATATGATAAAATGGCTTACAGGAATCTGCAGATGTTCCTGATCCAAATTCATGAGCTTCATTTCATAGTCAGACTGCCTTTCCCCATTTTCTGACTCAAAGACAAATGTAACAGTGTCTGGATTGTCCTGTGCCCGGATTGTGACAATGTCCTCATTGCCAGCACACTTCAGGATCTTGGACATGCTGAAAATGGTGACAAAATAAGTTCCACATTGCCAGCCAGATTAACTTGCCACAAAGCCATCTCAAATACACCTGACAGAACTGAAGGTGGTGATCAAGGACAGCTGCTGACTGACTTAGCTTCATTGTTAATTATTGAGCACACATGTAAAAGGCAGAGGGGGCCACAGACTGCCTGCAGCAAGACACCCATACTTCCTACTTCTTGCATATCAATCCTATGGTACTGCCACATTAAAAGTGGCACATGGTCGGTAGGGCTTCATAAGCCTGAATTGCCAATGCGCGACTCATTCACGGTTGTGTGGCATCCTCCAAGACAAGTGTCTCAACACAAACTCACCTGCCAAGATTCATGCCCATGGTCAGATTCCTGTCGCACCGATACTTGTCAAATCCATCTGATCTCAAATTCAAAGATACGAGCGAGACGTGAGCATTGTCCATGGCTTGAAGCGTAATTCCCATATCGCCACAGTCCCATGATGCCTCAGTGAGGAGGTCCTTTACGGCTTCAAGGATCTTCTTGAAGATAACACCCTTCGTCAGTCGTGCTTCAAACATATTGTATGATTTGATGAGACGCTCTGAACCAACTTCTGTCGACAATGATAACTAGAGACACCCACACCACTGCTAGGAACGTGACTTCCAAACAACCACCCGACCGCAATCCCAGCGCCAAGTGGGCCCGTTTGGCGCCAAGTTCTGTTACAGGCCCGCACAAGTTTTGGCGCCAATGGTGATAGTCTTCGTGGATCTGGTCGGTAGTGAGCACAAGCGTGTACAAACCAATGAACGTACGACTTTGGTCGTTAGCGCTGTTCGCATCTGCAAAACCTTTTTTCGTTAGACGGCATGAGCACAAGGCCACCTCTGGGAGAACCCGAATAAGTTTATCATGCTTTTAAAATAAGTAGTGGTCAACTACGTTTTTGTATTTGGATTACATGAGTTTTGGAAGATGCGCAAGATCTTCTCTACGACAATGAGTATGTTTTAGGCGGGAAACGGTTGCCCCAATGAGAAGGCAGAGCTGCTTATCGATCTCATTCTACTCACTCCTACGATGCTACACGCCAATCCGCTCTACGTGTCCTTTAACACGTTTATGGCGCTTCTTGTACATTTCGTCAGCTGTAAATAATGCACGGACCTGTCTCAAGCCTCCAGGGCCTCTGAGGCCGAGTAGTGGGTGTGGGTCCGACGTGTCTTTTGTTGTGCAGGCCAAGCTAACTGAAATTTTGGACACCTTGACTGTACTTCTTACACGCATGAGGCCATTTTTTATTCATCATTTGTGAAAGTTGGTGGTCGTAAGCGGTTGAAATCGGTGTTGCAGACTAGGTAAGTGTGGCCATATTGTGATAAATTATGTTCATTGCTGTGTCTTAATGTGGTAGTCAGCACCCCGCATATGGGAAACACCATATACTAATGATGTGTCAATTTATTAATAAGCGTGTGTACTATTTGGATTTTGCTGTCTGTGTTATAGCCTTCCATATGCCAGTACAGCAATGCATTGTCAAAGCAAAAATTTAGAGATGAAACAGACAGGCATGACTACTTATAACATTGTTATGATTCAGTTTTCCTGCTTCAGCATGGCATGCCTTACTTTTCACTAACTATGGCATAGTAATGGCAGCATAATGGTATTGGCAGCCCACCATACATCCATTGACGGGTATTGTAACAACCACACCATGCTCAATGAGCTGTGAAAGTTTTAGATTATTATTAGGTGTGTTGAGCACTGTAAGAAAGAGTTGTGCTTCTGTTTTAGCAAGGCCAACAATTTGCCAGAATTTACTTGACCAAACAGAACCCAGTCTACCTCCTACCCCAATGTCTACTACAATGTCTACTACCCAGTCCACCCCAATGCTGTGCTTATTCCTATGAAAACACCCATGCTCTTACTTCTGTCCATAGTCCTACTCCTATCCTTACCCCTTTTTCATGCTACCACAGTGGAGAGCTTCACCCCTACTTAGCTGGCTCATCAGACACTCAGCTGACCCACCTACCAATCATTGATAAACACTGCTGTTTGACACCAGGGTGCTGTGAATGCTGTTACCAGGAGGATCATTGAGCATCCAATTGCATTGTTTTCAATGGTGAGATGATGTATTGCCACTGTTTTCCAAGACTGATTGGTGTATTGCAGTCTGAGGAAGTCTGGTATGGTTGTTTTAGAAAGATTGCTTTATATATATATATATGCACATATCTGAAAGACCCCAATTAATGCCTGAACACCTGTCTAGGAGGCTCCTGAGTTTTTATGTTTTTGTGGCTATAGTTCTGGTAAAGGTAGTACTTAATGTGAGCATGAGGTTAAAAATCCTTATCACCTTGTTGTCATATCCATGGATGTGCATGCACACAAACTTAAATTTAACTGTCTGGCCTGCAACAGCCTCCTGAAAATGAAGCCTTTCTGAAAGGCCAGTAATTTTGTATGGACATCCATGCCACAAAGCTCAGAATGGAAAGACTTTGGCACAAATTCCTCATCACATGTGTCCATTTACCAGCTATAGGAATAACCTGAGGTGCAGAAGAGGAACCTCTGAACTTGATGAGAGACTTACAAGAAGTTGGTGAAAACATCAAAAGCTAGATAGGATGTTATGGGCATACAAACCAGCAATTGATGGGAAAAGGATGTATTGCAGGCATGAATGAAGGCATATAGTCCATCAATGAGGGAGCTTGAAGCAGTTTGCATCATTAACAATCACTTCAGCATTATTTCCAGTCTTTGTCTAAAGAGCAGGAACCGCTACATTGCCGGCTTCTTAAAGAATGATTAAAAACAAAGAGAGCAAATGCAATGGGAACTACACTCTTATAAGTATCATTGCCATCACTAGACATGAGATCAGACTAGACATGAGATCAGACTGAAACATTCCAGTCACATCCAGCTTCTAGGGGGTCTAGGCATGAGATCAGACTGGAAACATTCCAGTCACACCCAGCTTCTAGATGTTGTTGAGGAATCAAACCTTGGTAGGATCTGGATGATCCTGTGAATGTACTCTTTGTTTTCAAAAGGAATTTTACCCAGTTTCCTGCTGCCACCTGCCTGGCATGTTGGAATGTGTCAGAATGCCAGATGAACTATCCCAATGGATGCAGTCATTTCTGAGCATGTGGCACCAACAAGCACTGGTGAGGTAAATTATCTCTCCTTTATCTGACATCAACAGGGGTGTACCTCAGGGATTCATATCAGACCTTTTTTCTGTCTAGCTCATTGATGACATTAGCCATCAGATGCCGTGGTTTAACTCCATATGAGGATGCTGGTGGATGATGCTAAGGTGAATGATGATGTGGCATAAACATCAGTGATTGGCCTTCTGTAGAGAGCCCAGAGTAATGCTGTGGCCTGTTCTGGCTTTTGCAGCTCTCACTTAATAAAGCAAACTCCAATTTTGTCGCATTGGATCCTGCACTACCCAGCACATATGTGACTAGGGGTGTCTGACTTGGCCAGTTATGGACAGAGTTGAGCTGGTGAATTCATGGAAACCCCACCCCGCTCTGTCAGAGGCAAGCGGCTGCAACAGTCTTGTAGGCCACACAGGTCCTGTCTTGCAGACCCCACCCTGCTCTGTCAGAGGCAATCGGCTACAACAGTCTTGTAGGCCACACAGGTCCTGTCTTGCAGACCCCACTCTGCTCTGTCAGAGGCAAGTGGACTGCAACAGTCTTGTAGGCCACACAGGTCCTGTCTTGCAGACCCCACCCTGCTCTGTCAGAGGCAATCGGCTACAACCAGTCTTGTAGGCCACACAGGTCCTGTCTTGCAGACCCCACCCTGCTCTGTCAGAGGCAATCAGCTACAACAGTCTTGTAGGCCACACAGGTCCTGTCTTGCAGACCCCACCCTGCTCTGTCAGAGGCAATCGGCTACAACAGTCTTGTAGGCCACACAGGTCCTGTCTTGCAGACCCCACTCTGCTCTGTCAGAGGCAAGTGACTGCAACAGTCTTGTAGGCCACACAGGTCCTGTCTTGCAGACCCCACCCTGCTCTGTCAGAGGCAATCGGCTACAACAGTCTTGTAGGCCACACAGGTCCTGTCTTGCAGACCCCACCCTGCTCTGTCAGAGGCAATCGGCTACAACGGTCTTGTAGGCCACCAGGTCCTGTCTTGCAGACCCCCACCCTGCTCTGTCAGAGGCAAGTGACCGCAACAGTCTTGTAGGCCACACAGGTCCTGTCCTTTTGTCTGTAGCATGTATGATCATGCCAGTACATGAGCTGGATGGCTCAGTATGTGCTTTCCAGGACTCTTGTAAGACGTTATCTCGAGTATGGTAGCACCATCTAGACTTCATTCAACCTGGCTGATCAGAAGTTGGTCTGGCAGGTTCAGGGACAGGCACTTAGTCTAGTGGCAGGCGGAGGCACGAGCGTACACGGAGAGGCCTTGTCTGCGAGGTTTGCAGTCTCTTCCGCTACGGGAGGCGCCACGGCGACGGCATTGTGACGCAGCAAACCCATTACGGCGGGGCAGCCTTCAGCCAGACAGTTCTCTGTGGAGCATCATTCCACCTGAAGGGGTCGCCGATATAAGCTGGGTTTGGGCAGATCCTGTCCTTAACAGCACTGCGAGCTCACCAATCTCCTGAGTCGGCACTGGCTTCAGAGTGAGGGTCGTAAACGGCTGGCACGCCCCTCGTGACCAGGTGGATACACTGCACTCACGGGTTGTTTCACCCATCGCAGGGTGTTCAGAGCGTTCTGGTAGTGAGACGCTGTGGTGCGCACCTCGTGGCTCGTGTTACTCTGACATGGTCGCCCCTCATGTGATGACATTGCCAAGCTGAGGATGTTGAGCACCAGCTGTGAAAAATGCTTTCTCCATGCTCTAGAGAGACTTGCTATTGCCATGGCAGTTGGCGTTTTTTTTTGTCTGAAAGGCTACATATTGAGAGCATAGCAGTTCTCGTCCTGTAACCGTGGGCCTTTGTAAATTGATGCCATATGAACTGGATTGGTTGTTGGCTTTGAATGATGGCATTTAACAGTGCTTGAATGTAGCATTAGTTAACAAGGTCTCTCTTGAATCCTTTCACTCTGGTCTGATGCCAAACTTGACAAACCCCTCGCAGATGGCCGACATCGGCCCGTCCCCTTTGTATGCGCTGCCAGTGGGCAGCGTGCACATGGCCAATCAGCTAACTCCGACGCTTGAAGAACAAATGTCTCATCTATTCGCACTTTCATTATTAATTCATTTGCACTTGAACGTGGCCGTAGATGAGTGTAGTAATTTGAGTACCACACATTATCACACCAGGCACATTGGCAGCCACATGCACCTGTTTTCAGGTGAATGGGGAACGCACATGTTAACTGAGTCGATATCTCCGTGCAAAAGGACTCGGCGGTTGGCATCGACCACGATCGCTCACGCGTGGCCGAGGTGACCGGACGGGGCCGGACACGTCAGGAGGCCGTGTGGTGGCGTGTCCCCCCCCCCGCCCCGCACAGAGGGAGGCCGAGGTGACCGGACGGCGCCGAGCACGTCAGGAGGCCGTGTGGCGGTGTGTCCCCCCCCCCCCGCCCCGCACAGAGCGTGGGTCGACTGCGCATGCATCACGTGCCAGTGGCGGCCGTCTGTGAGGAGCCTGACCAGTTTGGCATCAAACAGAAGGGTTTCACGGTCTTTTATCAGCTGAGCGCAGGACGGCCATTGCTGGGAGCTGGGTGGAATGCATGATGATGGGCGGGTGAGAGGAGCAGACACAGCAATTGGAAGACAGACTACGAACGATAAAGCACATACTATGACATCAATACGACGAGAGAGCACAATACCAACACCCAGGAACATGACAGATACATCAATGAATACGCAACACAATAGTCACCCACGACAATGATCACCGACAGTGGCGGGTGAGGGACCTGTGACGTCATCGAGGCGCCCAGCGACAGCCGCGTGCGTGTGCCGCTGGCCTGGCTCGACTCTGTTGTGACCCGCCGCCTGGCGACCCTCCCCCCTCCCCCTCGGGACGCGTGGCGCCGCCGCTGCCGCCGGCCCCGGGCCGTTTTTTGCCAGGTGTCCGTGCGGTGGTGCGGTCGTCAGTTCAGGTGACCGCGCACGCGCGCGGCCGCCGCCGCGTCGGGTATGTCGCGTCGTCTTGTTGCGGTTGGTGGGAAAGCCAGCGTCCTGCTGCCCGAGGAGGGCACGGTCGGTTGAGAATCCGTATGAGAGCTTTATGCGGCGCAAACACAGATAAAGAGGCAACGGAAGTGTGGTGACGGCTAGGGCACTTGACGGTTGCACTAGACCGTGTTATCTCGCGAGAAGCCGAGTGTGTTGACGGTTAGGGGACCTGAACGGTTGCACCAGACCGTGTTATCTCGCGAGTGGCTGAGTGTAGTGACAGTTAGAGGACCTGGACGGTTACACCAGATCTTGCTGTCTCGCTAGTAGCCGTATGCTGAAGAATAGCGGGTATTTCTCAATGAATGCAGAAGGATGGAGCGACCAAGTGCAACAGGATCCTAAAAACGGAGGCTCCAAAATCGGAGTCTAACTTGACGACGAAAGTCAGCCTCAATGGCGAAGATTGTTTGGATATCAAGCCGCGTGGCTAGGCCCGGGGTAGAAACACGCTGGCCGCTGTGGAGAAGCTCCCGCGGCCTCTGAGCCCACCCACCGGCGTCCGAGGTTGCCTCTGAGCCCACCCATCGGCGTCCGAGGCTGCCTCTGAGCCCACCCACCGGCGTCCGGGGCTGCCTCCGAACACACCCACCGGCGTCCGAGGCTGCGCCGTAGAGTGACGTCACAGCTAGTGACGACAGGAGGCGGCCACTGGCCACCCCCAAATCCCGTCGGCTGACGCTGCGCCCCGCTCGCACGGGCGCCGAGCGGGCGGCGGCGGGCGGTCTCTTCTGCTGCGGACGCCGGGCGCGGCTGGTGGGTCCCGTGCTCGAAAGCCCGGCCTCTGGGCTGCTGAGCTGGAGCCGAGCCGCCCGCCGCCGAACCCCGGCTCAGGTTAGCCTAACGGACACGGCCGAGGGCGGAGCAAACCTCCCCCCTTCCTTCCACTGGAACGTCTGCTCAGTGGCGGTGTCGTGCCGCCGCCGCTGTAGATGATAATCATCCCTGCGGATGGACGTGTGATGATCATCTCCGCTGATGAACGTGTCATAATCATCTCCGCCGGTGGACGTGTGATAATCATCTCCGTCAGTGGACGTGTGATGATCATCTCCACCAATGGACGTGTGATGATCATCTTCGTCAATGGATGTGTGATGCTCATCTTTGTCAATGGGCGTATGATGGAGGGCGGCAGAGCCTGTCCCGTCATCTGGATGTGGCAGTTCGAAGCAATGCTCTTTTCCACTGAGGTGGGATGTGGAATAGGTGGCGCGCGAGCGCTGTGATGGTTTCGTTTGAATCGGCGTTCTTTGTTGGAGGTATACCCATTCTGGTCCCGGGGGCTGGGGATGCTGGTGTGGAAGTGCGCAGCCTCACGGGGACGTTACAACTCAAAAGATGTGGTGATGGACTTATGAAGGAAGGATTTGACGCTCCTCACTACCCGGTGGGCCGCGGTATCTCACGCCTTTGCCATAAATACTGCAGCGTGAATGGTGGCGGCCGTTGCCTGTGTCGGAAATGGTGGGAAAACAGAAAGACATGGCGGCAGCCAACCCGGCGGTGACGTGACGGCAGTGACAACACGGCCGCATGTCATGATGCTGCTTACGATTTTTTTCACATAGCGCGATTGCCCACGTCAGTACGTGATAACGGCTTCCGCTGAGAGAAACAAGCCCCTGAATGGCTATGGCCCTGGAGCCGTTAGCTGCGTTCGCCGTTCATACGTGGCCAGTCCGCCGCCCTCCTCCGCACCTCCCAGCATCCCCCGGGCCGGGCGTCTTCAGCCGGCGGCTCTCCCGCAGTGCCTGTGACCCCCTCCCCCTGGCCGGGCGTCTTCAGCCGGCGGCTCTCCCGCAGTGCCTGTGACCCCCTCCCCCTGGCCGGGCGTCTTCAGCCGGCGGCTCTCCCCCAGTGCCTGTGACCCCCTCCCCCTGGCCTGGGCGTCGTCCGGCGGCTTGTGCCGGCTCCACACGTGACACGGAGCTGTCCTCGCCGACAGGGCATCACCATGAGGCCGCCCGGCAACATCCTGTACATCATTCAGGGCGAGATGAGCATACTGCTGACGGCTATGCGCCGCGGGCCCCGCTGGTCCAACTACGGGCAACCAGGTGAGTCCCGGGGCTGGGGTACTGACGCTGGTCCAACCACGGCAACCAGGTGAGTTCCGGGGCTGGGGTACTGACGCTGGTTCAGTCACGGCAACCAGGTGAGTCCCGGGGCTGCGTTACTGACCCTAGTCCAACCACGGCAACCAGGTGAGGCGCTGTCGTCGGCGTGTGACTCACTGCTGACGCGGTGCAGGTTTTGAACCAGATGAGCCGCTTCCCAAGCTGACCCGGCGCCGCGTAGAGTCCATATGTGATATCGGCTGGGTTTGTTGGGCTCTGTCTCTGGCACCGATACGGAGCCGTGCGGTTCGGCCGGCGCTGTATCACCCGGGTATCAGCTCACGCGGGAGGGGGGGGGGGGGCGACCAACATCAGCCGTCGCCGACCTGTGGCGACGGCCGGCACCGCGGGCCATGGAGAGCGGTGGCCCGCGCGCTGGGGATCATGCACGCGTTCTGTGACAGAATCGTTATGCCTTGTAGTTACACCCGCCCTTACACTTGCTGTGTTGTTAAGCATGGATTATCTAGCTCCGTCATCTGGGAGGCGTGGTGGGCGGGCAGCGGGCCCTGCAGACGGGTGTGGCGACCCGAGGTGTGCCCTAAGCTCGCGGCGCGCCGCTGCTGACCCCCTCGGCGGGGCTCGTGTGACGGGGCGGCCGGTGTTTTGCGCAGGACGAGAGCCAGGACAACCTGCTGAAGGCGTTCGCCGAGCTCAAGGTCATTCTGAGCCACACGGAGAACTGGGACGACCTGGACCCGAGCACCGTCTTCAGTGAGTGCCGGTCAGCGGCGATCGGCTGATGACGAGACACCTGCCCTGGGCAGCGCTAGCCGAGCGGGAGGGTCGTTTGGGGGATGGGTGTGGAGAGGGGGGGGGGGGGGACGTTACAAACGTGCCGTTCAGCGGAAAGTTGTTTACATTTTGGTTTGGTATTTGATTACGTAAGTTGCTCAGTGCATTCGCGAGGAGCATTAGTCACATAGATAAGATAGTAGTAACAGCCTTATTCCTCGGAGAAAAACCAAGAGAATGGAGAAGTAGATTGATATTTCGGAGACATACCTTTATCGAAGTAATAGCAGAAGTGAATTCAAAATTGCCTGCCGATGATCCTGCCTGATTATTCAGGTTTTGTTTTTGAAACAGCAATTTACAGTTTTTAAAGGGCGTATCAAACTGTTACTTGCTATTAAAAAAAAAAAAATACGGCTGAAAAATCGAGTATGATCGTCGGTGGGGAGTTTTGAATGCACTTCTGTTATTGTTTCGATAAAGGCATGTTACCGAAATATCAACCAATCTAGTTCTCAATTCTCCTGGGTTTCTCCGAGAAATAAAGCTGTTACCACTATCTTATCTTTTGTCATTTGATTTGTTATTTTGATCGATCCGGATCGCAGTATCTCTGTGGAAAAAATCGAGAGACGGGTACAGAACGGTGGCCAGCAAGCGCTCTGGGGGTCGATCTTCGTGCGCTTTGTGCGCCCAATGTCTCCCCGTCACCGCGTCGTTTTATTTGCGCACACGGCATTGCGGGGCTCCGCGGACAAACCTCGGTGCCGGCGTGGAGGCTCCCACAGTGGACGCGGCGGCAAGTGTTTCACGGTGTTCGCTATGAACAGTGCCACGCTGCACAGTCGCACAGAGTCGACCGTTTTGACAAGTGTGTGATGGGGTCTGGTGTCCCGCTGGGGACCATTGCCGCCGCGTATATCTCTGACGCCGCGGATCTCCCCTGTGATGCTGCTGACCTGTGCCCCCCCCCCCTCTCTGCCGCGTGCGTCTGACGCCGCAGACTTCCCCTGTGGTGCTGCCGACCTGTGCCCCCCTCTCTGCCGCGTGCGTCTGACGCCGCTGATCTCCCCCTGTGGTGCTGCTAACCTGTGCTCCCCCCCCCCCCCTCTGCCGCGTGTGTCTGACGCCGCGGATCTCCCCCTGTGGTGCTGCTGACCTGTGCCCCCCCCCCCCTGCCGCGTGTTTCTCTGACGCCGCTGATCTTCCCTGTGATGCTGCTGACCTGTGCCCCCCCGCCCCCCCCCCCCCCCCCTGCTGTCTCCGCGTAATGACCGTCCGCTGACCGTCCCCCTGTGCCCGCCCCTGCAGCGCCGTTCCTGAACGTGATCCGCGACAAACGACACGCCCGGCCCCAGTGACGGGGCTGGCGCTGGCCGCCGTCAACAAGCTGCTCTCCTACCACGTCATCGGTGGGTTGATCGGTCGCCGGCGCCGGCCCGCCAGGTGGCAGCACTGTCCGGCGGACGGTCGGTGCCGTGGCGGCCAGTCCGGCGCTGCCGGCGACGCTCAGTTTTGGAACTGTCCGTCGCTGCTGTCCGGTCGGCCGTCTCGGCGCTGTCCGGCTGTCAGCTGGCGCCGTCCGGCAGTCGCGCACTGCATTGTCCAGCAGCCATACTGTACACTGCTGTCTGGCTATCCCACTGCCTGACTTTCCGGCTGTCTGGCTGGCTGTCCGGCTGTCCAACTGTCTGGTTGTCTGGGCTTTCAGTTGCCAGGATTTCTGGCTTGTCTGGCTGTCCGACTATTTGGCCGTCTGACTGTTGAGCTGTCTGGCTAGCTGTCTGGCTGTCTGTCTGGCTGTCCGGCTTGTCCGGATGTCTGGGCGTTCGGCTGTCCGGCTGTCTGACTGCCCGGTTGCCTGACTGCCCGATTGTCTGGCTGTCCGGCTGCTCGGCTGTCTGACTGTCTGGCTGTCCGGCTCTCTGGGCGTTCGGCTGTCCGGCTGTCAGACTGTCCGGCTGTCTGACTGCCCGAATGTCTGGCTGTCTGGTTGTCCGGCTGTCAGTAGCTCTGTCTGACACACACGTCTGTCCACACGAGATGCGATGAGGTTCGCTCCGCGCCTACAGCACTGCTCGCCTTGAGAGCCGGCGCGTATATGAGTACCCGTCTGTTTGTAGGGGTGGTGGTCCGAGAACGGTATTCAACCCATACCGTGATATGTGCGTCTGTATCTCATCTGCCACCCCACAGTATATCATCCCAGTCGGAAGATGGCGCCGGCTGTGATGCAAAGTATCAGTATCAGTATGAGACTGTGCATCTGGTGCACATCCGAGCCTGGAGCCGGTGCCCCTGTCGTGATGAGAATGCTGTATTTACACGTGTATGCGTCGCAGACCCGAGCCTGGAGTCGGCGCCGGCCGTGATGGAGAGTATCGCCGACGCCGTCACCCACGCGCGGTTCGTCGGCACGGAGACGTCCTCTGACGAGGTGGTGCTCGTCAAGATACTGCAGGTGCGACGCCCGCCGCCGGCCGCGCCTCTGCCGGCCGGTGCTGCTAGGGGGGACAGTGGGACGGCAGGCGCAGTAGGCGCTGTGTGGTGGGGGCGGAGCTACACCCTGGGGGCATCACCATGACAAAGGCCACAGCTGGTGATGCTGTTCAGAGTGTGGTTCACCATAGTTCGCTGCGATAAACTGCAACCGACATAAATGCTTCATGGGACATATAAAAACAAAATATGACGCATGCTCTGTTATAGAATTGGTTTGTGAGTGGTCAATCGTAGAGAATGTACGTGAACTGAATGAAGCTTTGAGGTTCTAATGGCCGTAGGCCCGGACATTGCGTTGTGTGTGAATGCTTGTTGTTTTACACCTAATTTATTGCATTACTCAAGCCACGTTTGTTAGTGCGCGAGATTGAATTAATTTATGGTGTTTGTATGACTGAAGATGCACACTTCTCTTTCCCGCCAGGTGCTGCGGACTCTGCTGATGATTCCGGCCGGCTTTCTGCTTTCCAACGAGTCCGTCTGCGAGATCATGCAGAGCTGCTTCCGGCTGTGCTTCGAGCCTCGTCTCAGCGGTACGGCGGCTGCCCGCTGCTCCCCGCCACGCGCTGGCGCCGCCGTCTCATGTCGCCAAATAGCACACACCACTCCCCGCCACGCGCTGGTGCCGCCGTCTCATGTCGCCAAATAGCACACACCACTCCCCGCCACGCGCTGGTGCCGCCGTCTCATGTCGCCAAACAGCACACACCACTCCCCGCCACGTGCTGGTGCCGCCGTCTCATGTCGCCAAACAGCACACACCACTCCCCGCCACGCGCTGGCGCCGCCGTCTCACGCTGTCAAACAGCACACACCACTCCCCGCCACGTGCTGGTGCCGCCGTCTCATGTCGCCAAACAGCACACACCACTCCCCGCCACGTGCTGGTGCAGCCGTCTCATGTCGCCAAACAGCACACACCACTCCCCGCCACGCGCTGGCGCCGCCGTCTCACGCTGTCAAACAGCACACACCACTCCCCGCCACGTGCTGGTGCCGCCGTCTCATGTCGCCAAACAGCACACACCACTCCCCGCCACGCGCTGGTGCCGCCGTCTCATGTCGCCAAACAGCACACACCACTCCCCGCCACGCGCTGGTGCCGCCGTCTCATGTCGCCAAACAGCACACACCACTCCCCGCCACGTGCTGGTGCCGCCGTCTCATGTCGCCAAACAGCACACACCACTCCCCGCCACGCGCTGGTGCCGCCGTCTCATGTCGCCAAACAGCACACACCACTCCCCGCCACGCGCTGTGCCGCCGTCTCATGTCGCCAAACAGCACACACCACTCCCCGCCACGCGCTGGTGCCGCCGTCTCATGTCGCCAAACAGCACACACCACTCCCCGCCACGCGCTGGTGCCGCCGTCTCATGTCGCCAAACAGCACACACCACTCCCCGCCACGTGCTGGTGCCGCCGTCTCATGTCGCCAAACAGCACACACCACTCCCCGCCACGCGCTGGTGCCGCCGTCTCATGTCGCCAAACAGCACACACCACTCCCCGCCACGCGCTGGTGCCGCCGTCTCATGTCGCCAAACAGCACACACCACTCCCCGCCACGCGCTGGTGCCGCCGTCTCACGCTGTCAAACAGCACACACCACTCCCCGCCACGTGCTGGTGCCGCCGTCTCATGTCGCCAAACAGCACACACCACTCCCCGCCACGCGCTGGTGCCGCCGTCTCATGTCGCCAAACAGCACACACCACTCCCCGCCACGCGCTGGTGCCGCCGTCTCATGTCGCCAAACAGCACACACCACTCCCCGCCACGCGCTGGTGCCGCCGTCTCATGTCGCCAAACAGCACACACCACTCCCCGCCACGCGCTGGTGCCGCCGTCTCATGTCGCCAAACAGCACACACCACTCCCCGCCACGCGCTGGCGCCGCCGTCTCACGCTGTCAAACAGCACACACCACTCCCCGCCACGCGCTGGTGCCGCCGTCTCATGTCGCCAAACAGCACACACCACTCCCCGCCACGTGCTGGTGCCGCCGTCTCATGTCGCCAAACAGCACACACCACTCCCCGCCACGTGCTGGTGCCGCCGTCTCATGTCGCCAAACAGCACACACCACTCCCCGCCACGCGCTGGTGCCGCCCGTCTCATGTCGCCAAACAGCACACACCACTCCCCGCCACGCGCTGGTGCCGCCGTCTCATGTCGCCAAACAGCACACACCACTCCCCGCCACGCGCTGGTGCCGCCGTCTCACGCTGTCAAACAGCACACACCACTCCCCGCCACGTGCTGGTGCCGCCGTCTCATGTCGCCAAACAGCACACACCACTCCCCGCCACGCGCTGGTGCCGCCGTCTCATGTCGCCAAACAGCACACACCACTCCCCGCCACGCGCTGGTGCCGCCGTCTCATGTCGCCAAACAGCACACACCACTCCCCGCCACGCGCTGGTGCCGCCGTCTCATGTCGTCAAACAGCACACACCACTCCCCGCCACGCGCTGGTGCCGCCGTCTCATGTCGCCAACAGCACACACCACTCCCCGCCACGTGCTGTGCCGCCGGTCTCATGTCGCCAAAACAGCACCACACCACTCCCCGCCCACGCGCTGGTGCCGCCGTCTCATGTCGCCAAACAGCACACACCACTCCCCGCCACGCGCTGGCGCCGCCCGTCTCATGTCGCCAAACAGCACACACCACTCCCCGCCACGTGCTGGTGCCGCCGTCTCATGTCGCCCAAACAGCACACACCACTCCCCGCCACGCGCTGGCGCCGCCGTCTCCACGCTGTCAAACAGCACACACCACTCCCCGCCACGTGCTGGTTGCCGCCGTCTCATGTCGCCAAACAGCACACACCCACTCCCCGCCACGCGCTTGGTGCCGCCGTCTCATGTCGCCAAACAGCACACACCACTCCCCGCCACGCGCTGGTGCCGCCGTCTCATGTCGCCAAACAGCACACCCACTCCCCGCCACGCGCTGTGGTCCGCCGTCCTTCATGTCGCCAAACAGCACACACACTCCCCGCCACGCGCTGGTGCCAGCCGTCTCATGTCGCCAAACAGCACACACCACTCCCCGCCCACGCCGCTGGTGCCGCCCGTCTCACTCTTGTCAAACAGCACACACCACTCCCCGCCACGCGCTGGTGCCGGCCGTCTCATGTCGCCAAAAGCACACACCACACATCCCGCCACGCGCTGGTGCCGCCGTCTCACGCTGTCAAACAGCACACACCACTCCCCGCCACGCGCGTGGTGCCGGCCGTCTCATGTCGCCAAACAGCACACACCACTCCCCGCCACGTGCTGGTGCCGCCGTCTCATGTCGCCAAACAGCACACACCACTCCCCGCCACGCGCTGGTGCCGCCGTCTCACACTGCCAAACAGCACGTGTTGTCCGGATCACGCCGCCGCCGACCCGTCGCGCCCCCCGCTGCTTCGTTACGTGTCGTGGCGCCCCGCCGTCGCGCTTTCTTGTGACCTGGTCCAGCCACGCCCTCTGCTCGGCGCTGTACCGTGTCTCCCCGCCGCGTGCTGGGCTGGGGTCGACACTGCACTGTGGCCTGTCACTGCTGTCGCCACTGAACGTCTTTGAGTCAGGTCACCTTCCTGTAGCGGCTCCACTGCCGTCCACCTCTGCTGAACGACGTCACACCACCGCAGGGTCGCTGTAGTGTACCGTGTAGGGCCGCACAATGGGCTGTTACGAACGGGCTTTAATGGAGCTGGAAGTGATATGCAAGAACTACAAGTGATTTACAAGTGAACTGCAATGCCTCTGTCTTGGGCGCTTCCCGCTGTCCATTTGCGCTTGTGCCGTGCTTGTTAGATGCGTTGGGGATTTGGGCCGACTTGAGCAGATCTGCCCCCACCTGCCCTACCCCGACCTGCCCTGCCCCGACCTGCTCTGTCGTGGTCTGACTGACTTGGCCTCAGCCGAACCGGGCGTTGTTTTCACGAAAAATGCACAAATCTACGCGCTTTTCAGTAAAGCCATAAGGGCTCCTGCAGTGACAACTGAATCCGACCGATGATCCTGTTCATCAATATTTGTACAATCTTCAGATCGAGTAGAATTGGCTTGTTTCCGGCTCCCATACTCGCACGATGCAAGCTTAAAAATACGCCACCTCGTACTTTCGCGTTATGAAACCGTGGCCCCGGTCCGACTGGCCCTAAACTGACCTGAGCTGATCTGACCTGACATGACCTGACCTGACCTGATCGCTGCCCAGAGCTGCTGCGGCGGTCCGCCGAGCACATCCTGACCGACCTGACCCAGCTGCTGTTCACCCGGCTGGCGGACATGGCTGAGGACGAACAGGCGTCCACCCTCTCGCGGGTACGTACAGCGCCGCCGCTGACCTGGCGCCGGCCGCTGATGACGTCACCGGTGGGAAGTCGGGCGCGGGCGCTCGGAGGCGCCGCTGTCGCTGCTGGCTGTTGTCACATGCGATCCAGGGACAACGCCCTCGGGTGGTGGTGGTAATAAGTAAGCTATTTTTTAATGATCGGAGGTTTGTGATTGTACCACTGGAAATGAACTCGCTCTTACTTGCAACGATCTGTTCTGCAGGCTCACTGGTGTATGGGTACTGTTGTGTCTGTGATATCATTGGTGTTTGGGGACTGTAATGCCAGCGCTCCTGATATTTTGTACCGGTCCTCATATTTGGGTGCTGACAAGCCGTGCATATTGGTGATGTTGATGGTTGCTGCGGCATCTGTGGCTGTCAGCTGTCGTTGCCGGCTGTGTGTGCTTGTTTCGTCTGAGGGCCCGCTCCTCCCGTCAGGGGGTGTCGTTTAAGGGCCTGCTCCTTCTGTGAGGGAGTGTTCTGTGAGGGCCAGCTCCTCCCGTCAGGGGCTGTCGTTTGAGGGCCTGCTCCTTCTGTGAGGGGGTGTCCTGTGAGAGCCAGCTCCTCCCGTCAGGGGTGTCCTGTGAGGGCCCGTTCCTCCCGTCAGGAGGTGTTGTGTGAGGGCCCGTTCCTCCCGTCAGGGGGTGTCCTGTGAGGGCCCGTTCCTCCCGTCAGGGGGTGTCCTGTGAGGGCCCGCTCCTCCCGTCAGGGGGTGTCCTGTGAGGGCCCGTTCCTCCCGTCAGGGGGTGTCCTGTGAGGGCCCGCTCCTCCCGTCAGGGGGGTGTCCTGTGAGGGCCCGTTCCTCCCGTCAGGGGTTGTTGTGTGAGGGCCCGTTCCTCCCGTCAGGAGGTGTTGTGTGAGGGCCCGCTCCTCCCGTCAGGAGGTGTTGTGTGAGGGCCCGCTCCTCCCGTCAGGGGGTGTTGTGTGAGGGCCCGCTCCTCCCGTCAGGGGGTGTTGTGTGAGGGCCCGCTCCTCCCGTCAGGGGGTGTTGTGTGAGGGTCCGCTCCTTCCGTCAGGGGGTGTTGTGTGAGGGCCCGCTCCTCCCGTCAGGGGGTGTTGTGTGAGGGCCCGCTCCTCCCGTCAGGGGGTGTTGTGTGAGGGCCCGCTCCTCCCGTCAGGGGGTGTTGTGTGAGGGCCCGCTCCTTCCGTCAGGAGGTGTCGTTTAAAGGCCTGCTCCTTCTGTGAAGGGGTGTTGTGTGAGGGTCCGCTCCTTCCGCCAGGGGGTGTCCTGTGAGGGCCCGCTCCTCCCGTCAGGGGGGTGTTGTGTGAGGGCCCGCTCCTTCCGTCAGGGGGTGTCGTTTAAGGGCCTGCTCCTTCTGTGAAGGGGTGTTGTGTGAGGGTCCGCTCCTTCCGCCAGGGGGTGTCCTGTGAGGGCCCGCTCCTCCCGTCAGGGGGTGTTGTGTGAGGGCCCGCTCCTCCCGTCAGGAGGTGTTGTGTGAGGGCCCGCTCCTCCCGTCAGGGGGTGTTGTGTGAGGGCCCGCTCCTCCCGTCAGGGGTGTCGTTTAAGGGCCTGCTCCTTCTGTGAAGGGGTGTTGTGTGAGGGTCCGCTCCTTCCGCCAGGGGGTGTCCTGTGAGGGCCCCTCCTCCCGTCGGGGTGTCCATAGTGTAGTGATTAGTTAGCGCAGACGTGCAGTTAACGCGTCTGCTTTAGCTGCGCGTCTGGGAAACCAGGGGTGCGGGGTTCGATTCCCCGCGATGCCCGCCCTTCCTGCCAGCGTGAGAGGCGGACGACGCCATAAAGCCCCAGCAGCTGAATGTGTCGTGAGAGCCGAATGACTAGGACATGCTCCCGTCAGAAGCTGAAGATGCGCTCCGGCGGGCTGGACGGCCGCGGCAAGAAGAAGGGCAAGTTTCCGCGGCTCAAGTACCGCCGCCGCCAGGAGTCCAAGGACAGGTCCAGAGACGGCAAAGGTCAGTGGGGTGACGCGTCCAGGGGTCAGGCCAGAGGGCTGACGGCGGTTGGAGCTAGCTGACGGTCGGGCCGGTCCCGTGATCAGGTCAAAGGTCGGTCAGGGACGTCTCCTGAGAAGAGGACGTAAAGTCGGAGGTCAGGCCATGACACTCAGTTGAGAGAGACAGGTGACCACATCTTGATACCAGCTGAAACTACCATGCACAAGACCCATCTGCTGAACTGAGACCTGGCTGAACGACCTCAAATGGCCTTCGCATGGCCAAAGTCGTTTGGGTGTGGCCAGTTTTCGCAGCCGCGACTCATCCTGCCCCACGCTGTGATTTCTCGGCTCGGAAGCTAAACTTCCCGTCTGACCGACAGAGGGCAGCAGCGGGCCACGGAAGCCGGACAGCATCCCGCTGGAGGCGACGGAGCCGCCGGCGGCGCCGGCCGACCCGCCGGAGGAGCCCGGCCAGCCCGGTACGGCCGTCTGTTTGCGCAGGCGCACACCCACCGCGAGGGTTTTATGTAGTCTTGAATCGCAGTTTGGAACCATCCTTAAGATGAGAACCCGAGGCCCGCCTCAAGATGCACCATTCGGTCTTGCAGTGCGGGACCAAACCACACCGTCCAGCTGACTGGAGGGCACGTGGTCTAGGCTGCGCAGACACCCATTGATGCTTTGGATTCTCAGAGAGCTGCTCCGGGTCCCGGGCCGGTGTCGTGCTGTCTGTGCGACGGATGCTGCTGAATTGCTCAGACTGCCTAAAAAAACCAAACCTGATTTTGAGCAGGAAAAGTTCCAACTTTACCAGAACAACTGGACGTGACAGCTGAGCGCAGCGCAACTTCGGTCCCCTATTTTTGTTATGGCGCTCACCACACGGTTATTGAAAGCTGCTTTTTTGTGTGCCATTTTTGCCATTGTGCCGTGTGGCCTTTATGCATGTCTGTGCTGAGCAGCCACATATCCTGACAAAGCATCGCGAGTGGCGTCTGCTGGTATTTTTGTGCCTTGCTGGATCCGTTTGTCTCTGGGCACGGCAGGCCTGAGTCCCCATGCTCGAGATACCGCTCGCTGCGTTCGTTCTCCATTCTCGTCGCCGTCCCCACCACACCACCTGGTGGTCTTCTGAACATCAGCTGCCCGGCCCAGCTGTGTGGTGGGTGACCCCCTCCCCCCCCCCCCCACTCCGCCGGCAGACCCGGTCCCCAACGGCGGCGCGCCGCTGGCCACCACGCCGTCGGCGCCGAAGGGAGCCGTGGTCGACCTGAACCACCTGGACCGGGTGCGCGGCCCGCCGCCGACGGAGCGGGCCGCCGAGGAGGCCGAGCGCGCCGGCGGCCAGGAGGAGGCCGGCGGCGCGGCCGGCGCGACGGCCGAGGACGCCGAGTCAGTGGACGGCGCCGACTCGGCTAGTCTGCCGGACGGACAGGTGAGCAGTCAGTTGGGCGCTCTCGCTGGCCACCCAGGCCGGGGGACGCGTGGAGGCAGCATTGCGGTGTGGAGCGGTGGACTGACACCAGTGACGAGCCCCTCTCGAGTGGTCTGGTACCAGTGACGAGCCCCTCTCGAGTGGTCTGGTACCAGTGACGAGCGTCTCTCGAGTGGTCTGGTACTAGTGACGAGCGTCTCTCGAGTGGTCTGGTACCAGTGACGAGCCCCTCTCGAGTGGTCTGGTACTAGTGACGAGCGTCTCTCGAGTGGTCTGGTACCAGTGACGAGCCCCTCTCGAGTGGTCTGGTACCAGTGACGAGCGTCTCTCGAGTGGTCTGGTACTAGTGACGAGCGTCTCTCGAGTGGTCTGGTACCAGTGACGAGCGTCTCTCGAGTGGTCTGGTACCAGTGACGAGCGTCTCGAGTGGCCTGGTACTAGTGACGAGCGTCTCTCGAGTGGTCTGGTACCAGTGACGAGCGTCTCTCGAGTGGTCTGGTACTAGTGACGACCGTCTCGAGTGGCCTGGTACTAGTGACGAGCGTCTCTCGAGTGGTCTGGTACCAGTGACGAGCCCCTCTCGAGTGGTCTGGCACCAGTGACGAGCGTCTCTCGAGTGGTCTGGTACCAGTGACGAGCGTCTCGAGTGGCCTGGTACTAGTGACGAGCGTCTCTCGAGTGGTCTGGTACCAGTGACGAGCGTCTCGAGTGGCCTGGTACTAGTGACGAGCGTCTCTCGAGTGGTCTGGTACCAGTGACGAGCCCCTCTCGAGTGGCCTGGTACCAGTGACGAGCGTCTCGAGTGGACTGTTACCTGCGACGAGCGTCTCTCGAGTGCCGGAGCAGCGGCTGTGTGGTGCCGAGCCTCGCTGCCGGCGGTGGTGAGCTCCGCCGCTCCCCGTGCGCCGTCTTCTGGCGGCCGCCGGTGCGATCCAGCGACTGTGCCTCCCGTCCCGTCCGTGGCCGCCGGCCACCCTGCCGTCGCCCGGCGTCCCCACCGCCAGCCCGTCTGTGTCCTGTGTTCCTTCTGGACCTTACGCCACTCCCCGCTGCCCGGCCTCCTCTGTTTGTATACGTCCCTGGCCTCGCCCGCTCCCTCAGGTCCCTTGCCTCCCCGTCCCCTGAATTCTCCGCTCCCTGAGCTGCCATGGCCTCCCCCGCTCCCTCAGCTGCCTTGGCCTCTCCGCTCCCTCAGCTGCCTTGGCCTCTCCGCTCCCTCAGCTGCCTTGGCCTCTCCGCTCCCTCAGCTGCCTTAGCCTCTCCGCCCCCTCAGCTGCCTTAGCCTCTCCGCTCCCTCAGCTGCCTTGGCATCTCCGCTCCCTCAGCTGCCTTAGCCTCTCCCGCCCCCTCAGCTGCCTTAGCCTCTCCGCCCCCTCAGCTGCCGGACCTCCGCGCTCCCTTCAGCTCTCTGGCCTCCGCGCTCCCTCAGCTGCCTCTGCTTCCCCGGTCCCTCAGCTGCCTGGCCTCCGCGCTCTCTCAGCTGCCCTCTGCTTCCCCGGTCCCCTCAGCTGCCTGGCCTCCGCGCTCTCTCAGCTGCCTCTGCTTCCCCGGTCCCTCAGCTGCCTGGCCTCCGCGCTCTCTCAGCTGCCTCTGCTTCCCCGGTCCCTCAGCTGCCTGGCCTCCGCGCTCTCTCAGCTGCCTCTGCTTCCCCGGTCCCTCAGCTGCCTGGCCTCCGCGCTCCTCTCAGCTGCCTCTGCTTCCCCGGTCCTTCAGCTGCCTGGCCTCCGCGCCCTCTCAGCTGCCTCTGCTTCCCCGGTCCTTCAGCTGCCTGGCCTCCGCGCGCTCTCAGCTGCCTCTGCTTCCCCGGTCCCTCAGCTGCCTGGCCTCCGCGCTCTCTCAGCTGCCTCTGCTTCCCCGGTCCCTCAGCTGCCTGGCCTCCGCGCCCTCTCAGCTGCCTCTGCTTCCCCGGTCCCTCAGCTGCCTGGCCTCCGCGCTCTCTCAGCTGCCTCTGCTTCCCCGGTCATGCCCGTGTGCTGCCCTTAACTTGACCGTCACACCCTCTCTGAACCTTCGTTCATCGACCATCTTTCATCGTGGTTCATCACCGGTCATCTGTATTCATCGCTGGTCCCTGGTGGTCGCCGGCCGCCAGCGGCGGTGCGCGGCCGTGACCTGCCTCGGTGCCCTGCCGATCCGAGCCCGGACTCGCTGGTGGTCTGCGCCCCCCCCCCCCCTGGCGTGCTCGCCGGCGCCGCTGGCCGGCTGGGGTGACCCGAGGTCGTGTACTGTGGGTGACCTGTGACCCCGCCGCCCGCAGACGGAAGAGCCGCTCGCCACGGAGGCGGCGCCGCCGGCCGCACCCGGCTCTGACGTCACCGGATCAGGTCAGCGGCTCACCGGGAGGTCACGGGGTCGGTCGGAGGGCGGGAGGTCAGAGGTCACACCCGAAGCTGTCCGCCCGTTATTGGCAGGCCAACGTGTTTGGTTTTTTGAAGTTTCGGTTCTTTCAATGTTGATTTTTCCGCAAATTTTCGTTTTTAGCGTGAAAGTGCACTGTGATTCACAATTAAGTGCAGTCCTACGCTTCCTACAACCTGGCTGTTACAACACTGAATCCCATGTAAAGGAATCGAAGGGTGCCGTCTCCAGCCTTTGACTTGGGACTGCTGTAGAATAGATCCGCGTCAGCGTCGGCACTGCGCCTCCCGCCCAGCGCCGTCACTTGAAGCTGCGTGTCCTCTTCTTGCATCAACACATGCCAACGTTAATGTCCCCAACAAATTGTTGTTTACGGACTTCAACGTGTTCGATACTCGTGCTCGATTCTATGGCCATTACGAGCCCTGGTAAGTGCGTGACACGTGACGAATGCACGGACATCCACGTTCTGGATACATTGTAAGGGTATTGATGGGTAGGAGTGGGCAGTGGTATTGATTAGTAGAACAGGTAAAAGTGACCCCAAACGTAGACTTCGACACAGCGAGCGCACAGCACAGAAACCAGGTGATAAATGACACTGCCTGACAGTACCTTACACTGACACTGGCTGACAGCGACTGAAATTAGTACTGACACTGGCTGACACCAATTGGCGCCGGCTGAAGTTGACACTGACATCGACTGACACTGACTGACATTGGCCGACATTGTCCCCGATGCCGTACGACACTGAAATTGGCCGACGTTAGCACTGACATCGACTGACACTGCTACTAACACCGGCTGACGCTGACACTGACGCCGACTTACACTGACACTGACACCGGCTGACACTGACACTGACTGGCAGTGTCTGCGTCGGCCGGCGTCTGACGCGCGTGTGCTTCGCCTCTGGCAGAGTCGACCGAACCGGCACCCGGTACCGAGGGCGAGCCCGCCTGCTCTCTGGACGGCGCGGCCGGCTCCAGGGCCGCCTCCGAGCCGCCGGCCGACGAGGCCGACGACGAGCCGCGCGAGAACCCGCAGGGCGTCAAGTTCACCGGCAGGGGCAGGGGTAGGTGCTGGGTCAGGGGTAGCGGCGGGGTCAGGGGTAGGTGCTGGGTCAGCTGCAGCGGCGGGGACAGGGGTAGGTGCTGGGTCAGGGGTAGGTGCTGGGTCGGCTGCAGCGGCGGGGTCAGGGGTGGGTGCTGGGTCAGCTGCGGCGGGGGCAGGGGTAGGTGCTGGGTCAGCTGCGGCGGGGGCAGGGGTAGGTGCTGGGTCAGCTGCAGCGGCAGGGGCAGGGGTAGGTGCTGGGTCAGCTGCAGCGGCGGGGGCAGGGGTAGGTGCTGGGTCAGCGGTAGCGGCGGGGTCAGGGGTAGGGTGCTGGGTCAGCTGCAGCGGCGGGGTCAGGGGTAGGTGCTGGGTCAGCGGTAGCGGCGGGGTCAGGGGTAGGTGCTGGGTCAGGGGTAGGTGCTGGGTCGGCTGCAGCGGCGGGGTCAGGGGTGGGTGCTGGGTCAGCTGCGGCGGGGGCAGGGGTAGGTGCTGGGTCAGCTGCGGCGGGGGCAGGGGTAGGTGCTGGGTCAGCTGCAGCGGCAGGGGCAGGGGTAGGTGCTGGGTCAGCTGCAGCGGCGGGGGCAGGGGTAGGTGCTGGGTCAGCTGCAGCGGCGGGGGCAGGGACACGTGCTGGGTCAGCTGCAGCGATGGGGGCAGGGGCAGGGGCACGTGCTGGGTGAAATACGGCGGCTGGGGACGGGGATGCGGGCAGTGGGCAGCTCTCGTTGATCCAGCGAACGGTAACGTGCCGTGGTGGTGGTGTAGTGGTGAGGGTAGTTTGACGGCGTCTTGTTCTGTCGATGTGCGTCGGAATGGATGTCTGTCTCTAGCACGAGCCATGGTGCAGCGCTACCACTCGCTCACGCCACATGCCACGGTGTCGTGACACGGTGTCACCCGGTGTGCGCCTGCCGCAGGCGCCGGCCCGCTGGTGCCGTATGGCCTGCCCTGCGTACGCGAGGTGCTCAACTTCTTCGCGTCGCTGACCAGCCCTTTGGACCGCAACAACTCGGACTTCATGATCCACTGTGGCCTCGGCCTTCTTGCCGTTGCCATGGAGACGGGCGCCGAGCACATGGCTCGCCTGCCGTCTCTCATCGCCCTGGTTCGGGACGACATCTGCCGTAACCTGTTCTCGGTGAGCGCAGCGACGGACGCCGTCTCCGTCTGCGGTGGTGTGCCCGGCCGGGGGGTGTCCCCTGCGGACCGAGGGGTGTCCCCTGCGGGCCTCGGAGGTGTCCCCTGCGGACCGAGGGGTGTCCCCTGCGGACCGAGGGGTGTCCCCTGCGGGCCTCGAGGTGTCCCCTGCGGGCCTCGGAGGTGTCCCCTGCGGACCGAGGGGTGTCCCCTGCGGGCCGAGGGGTGTCCCCTGCGGACCGAGGGGTGTCCCCTGCGGGCCTCGGAGGTGTCCCCTGCGGACCGAGGGGTGTCCCCTGCGGGCCGAGGGGTGTCCCCTGCGAGCCGAGGGGATGTCCCCTTAGGGCCGCGAGGTGTCCTCTGCAGCCTCAGAGGTGCCCCCTGCGAGCTTCGAGGGTGTCCCCTGCGGGCCGCGAGGTATCCCCTGCGGGCCGCAGGGGTGTCCTCTGCAGCCTCGGGGGCGTCCCTGCGAGCCTCGAGGGTGTCTCCTGCGGGCCGCATGGGTGTCCTCTGTAACCTCAGGGGTGTCTCCTGGGGGCCGCGGGTTGTCCCTGAGCCGGCCGGTGCGCCGCTGACAGACTGTTGCCGTTCCGCTGTGCCCTGTTGCCGGGTTATCCCCGTGGTGGTAGGTTGGTGGGCTTTATGACCACCGCGTCAGAGTATTTGATTTTGTCTCTTACGGTACTTACCGGGTTTCGTCTCCTACGGTACTAGTCAGGTTGTGTCTCTTAAGCTACTGGCCGGGATGCGGTGCAGTGTTCTGTTATGTAATGGGGCGTTTATCTGTATGCTTGTCCGTGTGTTTGTGCATGATCACCCGTCTGTTGGCGTATCTTCTGCGTTCCACGACCCCAGAAAACGAAAGGTCTCGGCTTGTTCGTCTGAGTGAGGGAACGCTCTAGCGGCTGAGGATCCCAGGTTTTCTGACGCTGTCCTCGCACCGGCTCCCGACTGCTCTGACCTTTGACGGCGGGCCCGGCGCCCGATGCTCCCTCTCCCGGGGCCGCTGCTGACCTGCTGACCCTCCGCGGCAGCTGCTGAACTCGGAGCGGCTCTCCATCTTCTCCGCCTCGCTGCGCGTCTGTCTGCTGCTGTTCGAGTCGCTGCGCGCCCAGACCAAGTTCCAGCTGGAGATGTACATCACGCGACTCACCGATATCGTCGTCTCCGAGAACCCACGCACCGCTTACGAGCAGAAGGAGATGGCGCTCGGTGGGTGGGAGGGGACGGGGTGGGGGTGAGGGATGGGGGTGGGGGGCCGGAACGTCAGCGAGCGGCAAGGGACGCACACTGCCCTAAAGGGAGAAGAACGGGGCGGCGCTCGCTGGATGGGAGGTTCCCTGAACGTTGGCCAGTCGCGGGGGAAGCACACTGCAATCTAGGACGTCAGTTTTTGGTATAGCTGTTAGTTGTAGGATGCACATGGCTGCTCGGTGTAGTTGCTACTACTTCTGCACTGTTACGTCAGTGGAGAAACCTGACACCGTCTACGTGGCATTGCCAGGCGTTTCCTGCATTTCCCTGAGGCGTCGTAATAAGAAGGTAGTGTTCTTTTTATGCCACACGGCCTACATTGAGCTCTATCTGCATCACGTATAATCCGTCAGTGGGCGTCGGACTGGTCATACATTGGCAGCCTCGAAAACGCCACGGGCGGCCACCAGTTGGATGGACGGTATGTGGAAACCTTGTCGTCCCCGGCGGCGCGGCTGGCTGGCTGGCTGGCTGGCTGGCTGGCTGGCTGGCTGGCTGGCTGGCTGGCTGGCTGGCTGGCTGGCTGGCTGGCTGGCTGGCTGGCTGGCTGGCTGGCTGGCTGGCTGGCTGGCTGGCTGGCTGGCTGGCTGGCTGGCTGGCCTATCTGGTGGACCTGTCCTACTCGTCGCGGCACACCACCTCCCTCGTCTGACGTGGTGGGTATCGCCTCCGTGTCTGTCCCGTCCCGTCTCCCGCGCCCGGCCGGACGCGTCTCCGGTTTGACCTGACGCCGACATCGTCTGCCCCCCCCCCCCCCACCTGCCCCACCTGCGGGCTTCACCCGGCGCCCGGCTGTCTCCTCCAGACGCGCTGGTCCAGCTGTGGAAGATCCCCGGCCTGGTGACGGAGCTCTACCTCAACTACGACTGCGACCCCTACTGCTCCAACCTGTTCGAAGACGTCACCAAGCTGCTGTCCAAGGTGCGTCGGCGGGGCGTCGGCGCGACGGAATCACCCTGACGTCCCGCGCGGACTCCGGTCGCGCACATCAGGTGTCAGAGGGTGTATCTTCAGCCAACAGCTGACTGGGTGGCGCCGCTCTTCGCGGCGGTGCGATCCTGACGCGGCCGTTGTGACGCCAGCCGCAGAGGCTGTCCGGCGGCTTCAGGCAGTGATGAGCTACAGCGCCGGCCAGTTTGTGACGTCATCATTGCCGCGTCACAGGCCGTGGTTGGTGCGGCTTGCGTATGACGTCATTGCGTGTCGCCGTGATGCTGACCGCGCGGCCGCCGTTCGGCCAGCGCTGACAGCCGCCGCTCCGGCCCTCCGCAGAACGCGTTCCCCGTGCAGGGCCTGTACTCGACCCACCTGCTGTCGCTGGACGCGCTGCTGACCGTGGTGGACTCTATCGAGCATCAGTGCCACACGCGGATACACTCGGAGCGGCGGGAGCGAGCAGAGGCGCACCCAGGTGAGACGCTGGGGGAGCATCAGTGCCACACGCGGATACACTCGGAGCGGCGGGAGCGAGCAGAGGCGCACCCAGGTGAGACGCTGGGGGAGCATCAGTGCCACACGGGGATACACTCGGAGCGGCGTGAGCGAGCAGAGGCGCACCCAGGTGACATGCTGGGGGAGGGAGGAGGGTAGCTCCGCCGCTTGGCGGGAGTGCCGCCGGAGGAGGCTCGCTCCTCGGCATTGGGGGGACTGGATGCCCTATGGCGCGCTACCTCTGGTACTGACGGCCGCAGCGGCGGCCGAGCGACCGGTCGATGGGGATCCCCGACGTCGGAGAGTAGGGGGAGGGGGGGGGGGGAGGGAGGACAGACCGATTGAGCCTCCGACCGAACGAGAGAGACTGGCCGGTAGGGTCCCCCGACCTCGGAGAATGAGGGGGGACCGGTCAAAAGGGCCCCGACCTCGGGGAATGGGGGTGGGGGGGGGCGACCGATAGGGTCCCCCATCCTTGGAGAATGGGAGGGGCCAGCTGATGGGGTCTCCCGACCTCGCAGGATGGGAGGGACCAGCTGATGCCCCCCCCCCCCCGACCTCGAGGGACGAGGTAGTGCCAGTCGCCGCGCGGGTAACGGTCAACATAGACGGCTGTTGAACATGTGATCTGCCTAACTTTGTAGTGCGCCGTTACACGGCGCCCGTGATGTAGTCTGGAATATGGTCTGTGCAGCTGTGTTGTGGACGGCGCGGTGACGAACGATACGGAGCTAGCTTCTGAGAAAGGGTTAGTCGTCGTCCGAGGGCCCGCCCTCCTGACCCGCCCCCCGTCCGTTTTGGCAGGCGAGGCGGCGGCGGCGACGGCCAGCCCCGCCCCCGGTTACGACTATCCGGCGTCCGGCTATCTGATTGGCTGCAGCCAGCAACGGGCGCCGCCCACCGCTGACGCGGCGGCCGGCCATTGGTCGGGCCGCCGCGCACCGTCCGACCAGGAGGTGCCTACGCACGAGGAACTCATGGCCGTCAAGCACCGCAAGAAGGTGGGTATACTGTGCCACGTGCCACAACTGGGCTGACTGCTCAGTGACTCATGCGTTTGCATTTCCGCGTTTTTGTAGGCCCGATTCCTTTTTATTCAAAAACGGAACGCGGGGCACGTCGTCGCGCATCCTTTCGTAGAGCACCGGCGGCTACAGAGGCCATGCTCATGGTCCATGACTACTGGATTCGAACACGGACCCCCACGTGGGAGCTGAAGGTGCTGACCACTCGGCCATTACGCCCCTTGTGAGCCCGACCCCAGCGTTCAGTCCGGGCTCGGGCGTCACTGGTATTCATGGGTTGAATGGTGTGCTCCGCAGTTGCATATGAGGTTCTGAACTGAAATGACCATCTCGTAGATCATCCGGTGCAGTTCACAGCACTGTACTCCTTAAGGCCTAAACCCGTCTAGTTTCTAAGCTATACGCCCGCGCAGATGTACAAACTATTTCGAGGAGACCATTTCAAGGTCACCGTGCATCCGGGACGCAATAACAACGCCATTTAAGTCATGTTTTTCCATTAGTCATGCGGCGGTCAAGGCGAAGAAAAGTACAATTGTCGAGTTGTGAGCACGATTTCCAGATATTATGGCTGTTTTGCAAGGTACGATAACATAAACAATGAGATTTTAAGGAGCGTAATTATTAAACAGAGCAACTGTGGCCTCGAGCGGTCTTTTCCACTCACGAGTACACCAATAGTTATGAGTGAACTTTTTCATCATATCTCATACTGACGTAAGTTGTAAAGTGCATTTGCGAAGAGAGGCGGACCAATGAACGGCCACATGAGCGTGACGTCAGCAAGCGCGGAGGGAAGCGGACCAATGAACGGCCACATCAGCGTGACGTCAGCATGCGCGGAGAGAGGCGGTGCTGCTTCCGTGACCAGCTATCCTCCTCGTACTCTGCGACGGGCGTTTGCGCATGCGGGCTGTGTCGACTCTTGGATACGGCCGAGCAGTGGTGACCGGGTCCACACTGACAGTCGTGCCCAGCTGACTACCGGCTGTCCTCATCAGCTGATTAGCCAGCTGAATATGGACTGTTCTCGTCAGCTGACTAACCAGCTGGCTATCGGCCGTCCCCATCAGCTAATTAGGCAGCTGAGTTTGGGCCGTCCCGATCGGCTGATGGCTGTTGCTGAGTGCTTCCTGCCGCCGGCGCGGTGGATCGAGACAAGATGAAGGGGCTTGCTGACGTGTCGGCGCATGTATCGGCCGGACGGCTACAGGAGCGATCAGCCTTCGCCGCCCGCCAGGGGGCACGTGACCACCGTGCTGTGTGCTGAGTTCTGCGTGACGTCGTACATGTGACGTCATCTCCTGGCGGGTGACGCAATGTCTGCTGCGCTTCAGCTGCTGTCGTCCGGCACGGAGCACTTCAACGTCAAGCCGGCCAAGGGCATCCAGTTTCTGCAGGATAACGGCCTGCTCTCGACGCCGCTGGTGCCCACCGAGGTGGTCACGTTCATCAAGGTCAGTGGCAGTCTGACCCGCCACGGGCACGCGTAGCCGGCAACCGTCGCTGGCGGCGTCATGCCGGCTTTTTGCGACCCCGTCTGGAGGGGAAAACAATAATTTCGTCATTGTCTATAATGCATTGTTAGCGGTGACGATAACAATGGACTGTAAACTAATAGCACTAAACTAATTCCGCGAAACTACCACTTAAGTAATACCACTAAACTAATACCACTACGCTAATTTTTATTGATATCAGAAGGGCCTTCAGCTTCTGTTTTTTCGGCATTATGAGTTGGAAGCTTATGTGTTGAGTTAACGAGTTTGGGTATGTCAGGAGGCACTGATTTAATGAGTTGTAATGTTGAATAGCGGTTATATTGTGGTACTCAATATCGCGAGTTGTGCATATCCTCAGGAATGATTCAACACGTCCCAGTTTGTAGTGCAAAGCTGCTTAATGGGCCATCTTAAGTGAGGTCGCTGATAGTGAAGTTGTACTTAATATACAAGAAAAACTTGTAGCTTCTGGCTTTTCGACATCATGGGTCAAAAGCTCCTACATTGAGTTAACGACCTTGAATATAAAGAGGAGGTCCTGATTGAACGACGTTGCAATGGTAGATAACGATACTACTCAAGGTGCTCGATTTTGTCTTTATTTGGCATTACAACGTTGTTAAAGCAGTATCTCCAGGTACATTGAACGACGTAAACTCAACATAAGACATTTGAACTCATCAACTGTTTTTACAGTTGAACGACGAGTGAGGTTCTCAGCTTGACATTTATGCTTACATTGTCATTGATACAAATAGCACTCTCGACTTTATGTAATGTGATAAACGTGGCCACTGTTTGCTGTCCTGCCTCTGTGCCCTGTATGATGCTGGCAATTGTTTTGCTTGCAGGAGAACCCTCGCCTGGACAAGAAGATGATTGGAGAGTACATCAGCAAGCGAAATAACCTGGCCGTGCTCGACGCGTTTGTCAAGTAGGTGCCATCCCTCTGCGTCTCTGGGCCTGCCACTGACCGTCTCTGGGTCTGTCACTGACCGTCTCTAGGTCTGTCACTGACCAGCAGTCTTCTGACCTGACCTGTCATGACATAACCTGTCATGACCTGAACTGCCCTGACCTGCCCTGACCCGCCCTGACCTGCACTGGCCCGTGCGTCCATCAGGTCGTTTGACTTTGGCGGCCTGTGGGTGGACGTGGGGCCGTCTGCTGCCCTGACCTGCCCTGACCCGCCCTGACCCGCCCTGACCTGCACTGGCCCGTGTGTCTATCAGGTCGTTTGACTTTGGCGGCCTGCGGGTGGACGAGTCGCTGCGGCTGTACCTGGAGACGTTCCGCCTGCCGGGAGAGGCGCCCGTCATCTCGCTGCTCATGGAGCACTTCGCCGACCACTGGCACGTACGTACGCCGCCCCCGCTGCCGTGATGGCGTGTCCCCACCTGTCAGGTGCCATTGCTGTTAGCTGTTACTGATTCGGAACCGTAAGTAGAACTGCATGTTAACTGTTAATGTTGCCAGGTTTAAGTTATGCGACAAGCTGTAATTGCGCTCATATTATCAGGGAGACAGTTTTAGCAACAGCACTTTTCGTTTCCAATTTTCACTAACTCTGAAAGTATGTCGTGCAGGATTATTTCGGTCCGCAAGACGACGGAAAAGGCACGCACTGCATTTACGGTCAGTCTTCCCCTATGCAAAGATGCGTTTTTCTGAACACTGCGCCGCTGTCGCCATCGCGCGCCGCTGTCGCCGCGTCTCCAACATGGAGCGGCGCGTCTCCTGACGGAGCGGCGCGTCCCCTGACGGAGCGGCGCGTCCCCTGACGGAGCGGCGCGTCCCCTGACGGAGCGGCGCGTCCCCTGACGGAGCGCCCCCCCCCCCCCCCCTGACGGCAGAAATCTAACGACGAGCCGTTCGCCAACGCCGACGCCGCCTTCACGTTGGCGTACGCCATCATCATGCTGAACGTGGACCAGCACAACCACAACGTGCGGAAGAACACGGTGCCCATGACGCGCGAGGACTTCAAGCGCAACCTCAAGAAGGTTAACGGCGGCAGCGACTTCAACCAGGAGATGCTGGACGAGATCTACACGGCCATCAAGTGAGCGCGGGGGTTGGTGGAGGGGGCGGGGGAAGGGGATGTGGCGTGAGTGGCCGGATAGGCCAGACTGCGGATTTCGGATTGGAAGATTTATTTACTATCTATTATGATGCGATCACCTGGGCGCCTGTGGTCAGAATTTTGTTTGCGATCCGTTTGTAATGGAGCGTGTTTTTGTGTCCCGTTTGGCTTAAAATCCTAAACAGCTTTCGTGACCTACTAGACCAGTCGATTCTCCACCATGCTCTTCCAAAACCACCCACAAGTGTGAAAGTTCCTGTCGTCAGCCAGTCTCGAACACTCGTCCTGCGGACAGGTCGGACGAGATCGTGATGCCGGCCGAGCAGACCGGCCTCGTGCGCGAAAACTACCTGTGGAAGGTGCTGCTGCGGCGCGGCGCGGCGCGCGAGGGCGGCTACGTGCGCGCCAGCAGCGGCCTGTTCGACCACGACCTGTTCTCGCTGAGCTGGGGACCGACCGTGGCGGCGCTCAGCTTCGTGTTCGACCGCTCCACCGACGACATGATCGTCCAGAAGGCTATCGGCGGCTTCAGGTGAACACCACTGGGGGGGGGGGGGGGGGGGGAGGAGGGGGCCGATGGGGCCGATGGGGGCGGCGCTCAGCCTTGTGTTCGACCGCTCCACCGACATTTTAAGGTTGGCTGCGCTGTGCTTTGAGCGAGGTTTTCCGTAGGTTTTTTTCCATGGCTCGACATAACATGTGACCTGAAATGAGTGGCGTGTGCCCACGCCTGTGACCTGATACGGGATCTGGCTGGACGAAACACCACCCCTCGATCCGACCTATACGTCTTCCTGTTACCTGACCTGCAGCTGACCCTGAGGCCCGACCTCTGATATGACTTTGGAGCTAGCATTTGGCCGGTCGCGGGGCCTAACGTGCGACATGACGGATCTCGCGCAGCTCGACCCACGGCCTGCCTAGTCTGATCCAGAACAGGACCCGGTCTTCACCTTGAAGCCGACCTGTTGCCTAACCCATGACCTGTTCCGTGACCTGATCCTGACATCTGACCGCCGTGACCGTCCTGTGATCTGACCCGTGCCGTGACTTGTGTACTGGTCATGCCTTGGCCGGTGGCCTCGGCTGGTGCCCCGTGCCCGTGACCGCGCCGTCTGACCTTTGTGACCCCGGCGCTGACCCCAGGAAGTGCGCCATGATCGCCGCTCACTACGGCATGTCGGACGTGTACGACAACCTGGTGATCTCGCTGTGCAAATTCACCACGCTCGGAAACAGCGCTGAGGTGAGGCGACCTTGACCTTGACCTGGACGTGGCGTATGACCTGACCCGCGGGTATACTGTCACCTGTACCAGCTCGAAGCCTGTGACCGGGGTGCCGGTTGTGTAGTGGTTAACGCGTTTGCGCAAATAACCACTGCGCGTCAGGAAAACCAGAGGAACGCGGTTTGATTCCGCGCGGCACCCGCCCTTCCTGTTAGGGTGAGGCAGGTGACGTCATATAGCCTCAGCAGCTGGTGCGTCGTAAAGCCCCAATGGCATGACGAAGCCTGTGGCCGATGTCTGTTACGTTCGGAGCGGTTGTCGCGGTGCCCGTCTCTGCTGCTGTGCCATCCTGTCCCACTGACAGCTGCACCGACACAGCAGCACTGACACAGCAGCACCGGCACGGCAGTACGGACACAGCAGCACCGACACAGCAGCACTGACACAGCAGCACCGGCACGGCAGTACGGACACAGCAGCACCGACACAGCACCAACACAGCATCACCGACACAGCAGCACCGATACGTCGGCGTCGGCGGTCGTCCCCGGAGCCCGTCCCCGGCTCCGTCACCCCACTCACCCGGCGGTCGCCCCACTCACCCCGGCGGTCGCCCCCACTCACCCGGCGGTCACCCCACTCACCCGGCGGTCGCCCCGCTTACCCGGCGGTCACCCCGCTTACCCGGCGGTCACCCCACTCACCCGGCGGTCGCCCCGCTTACCCGGCGGTCACCCCGCTTACCCGGCGGTCACCCCACTCACCCGGCGGTCACCCCACTCACCCGGCGGTCGCCCCACTCACCCGGCGGTCGCCCCACTCACCCGGCGGTCACCCCGCTTACCCGGCGGTCACCCCGCCTACCCGGCGGTCACCCCACTCACCCGGCGGTCACCCCGCCTACCCGGCGGTCACCCCACTCACCCGGCTCCGTCACCCCACTCACCCGGCGGTCGCCCCACTCACCCGGCGGTCACCCCACTCACCCGGCGGTCACCCCACTCACCCGGCGGTCACCCCGCCTACCCGGCGGTCACCCCACTCACCCGGCTCCGTCACCCCCACTCACCCGGCGGTCGCCCCACTCACCCGGCGGTCGCCCCACTCACCCGGCGGTCACCCCACTCACCCGGCGGTCACCCCACTCACCCGGCGGTCGCCCCACTCACCCGGCGGTCGCCCCACTCACCCGGCGGTCACCCCGCTTACCCGGCGGTCACCCCGCCTACCCGGCGGTCACCCCACTCACCCGGCGGTCACCCCGCCTACCCGGCGGTCACCCCACTCACCCGGCTCCGTCACCCCACTCACCCGGCGGTCGCCCCACTCACCCGGCGGTCACCCCCACTCACCCGGCGGTCACCCCACTCACCCGGCGGTCACCCCGCCTACCCGGCGGTCACCCCACTCACCCGGCTCCGTCACCCCACTCACCCGGCGGTCGCCCCACTCACCCGGCGGTCACCTCACTCACCCGGCGGTCACCCCACTCACCCGGCGGTCACCCCGCTTACCCGGCGGTCACCCCGCTTACCCGGCGGTCACCCCGCTTACCCGGCGGTCACCCCGCTTACCCGGCGGTCACCCCGCTTACCCGGCGGTCACCCCGCTTACCCGGCGGTCACCCCGCTTACCCGGCGGTCACCCCGCTTACCCGGCGGTCACCCCGCTTACCCGGCGCCGGCGGTCGTCCCCAGAGCCCGGAGAGCCTGGTGCTGTCGTTCGGCGCCAACACGAAGGCCCAGCTGGCGGCCCGCACCGTCTTCACGCTGACGCACCGGCACGCGGACATACTGCGCGACGGCTGGCGCAACCTGCTGGACTGTCTGCTGCAGCTGTACCGCTGCCGCCTGCTGTCGACGGAGGTCACCGAGGTCAGAGCCGCCGCCAGCCGGTCAGGAGGGGGCCATGCGGGGTCAGAAGGGCATTTCCAAGGGGTCGGGAGGTCATCCTGGGAACGCGAGGTCTGGGCGGACTACTGACTGCGTTTGTCACGGTCAGGCCGTTGATCGATCGTCACGGTCGGTTGTCAGCTGCTGTTTGCTGCCGTCGCTCTTGGAAGATAGTTCCGAACGGCGGCAGCAATCGACCAGAAGTTGGCCACAAGCAGCCTTTTTGAAACCAACGCATTTTGGCCATGACAAATTACACAGGCGTGTAGGCCGCTTTTGTGATCATTGCTCACCCAACATGTATGCTTTTTTCCGAATGCTTTGGTCACAATGGGCCAGACAGCGATGATAACCAACTCGTCGATCTTGTCCGTACCCATGTGCTTGTGTTCCCTGTGTGTGAACTCTTCTGACCTTCCCCTGTGGCTGCCTACCCTGTGCCCGTTCTCCCACACCCGCTCGTCCCACGCCTGTTCGCCTGCGCCTGTTCGTCCCGCGCCTGTCCGCCACCGCCTGTCTGACGTGACGCCTGTCTGACGTGACGCCTGTCTGTCGCCGCTTGTCCGCCGCCGCCTGTCCACCGCCGCCTGTCCGCCGCCGCCTGTCTGACGCCGCCTGTCGTCAGGCGGAGGACTTCCTGAGCCGGACGGGCCGGGTCAGCCTGCTGCGGGAGCCGGCGGCCGTCACACAGCGGCCGGAGACCAGCCTGCTCAGCTCGCTGTACTCGTACATCGCGCTCGGCACAGGTACGGCACGGCCGGCGGGGGGATGCTCCCTGGACGGGACAGGAGAGAGTGGAGCGCTGGGAACACGGACACTCGTCGGGCTTTAACAAGTAACCATGCGTGACGCAACCCTGCCGTGAGTGAATAAATGAAAACACTCTTGGTGAAGGTAGTGTGCAAAACACTACCTGCGTTGTTGGCGTTCCCTGCCCTGCACTATCCTGCCCTGCCCTGCCGTGACCTGCCCTGCCCTGCCCTGCTGTGACCAGCCCTGCGTTACCTTGCCCTGCCCTGCCCCACCGGGACCTGCCCTGCTCTGCCCTAACCTTCCCTGCCCTGACCTGCCCGTCTGGCCGCAGAGTCTCAGGTGGCCAAGCAGCCGTCGCCGGAGGACGTGGAGCACAAGGCGCGCGCTCAGCGCGTCATCCGCGAGTGTCACCCGGAGCTGCTCGTCACCGAGTCCAAGTTCCTGCGCATGGACTCGCTGCACGAGCTGGTCAAGGTACACAGCGTGAGGTCATCGTGACGTGACGTGATGTGGTGTGTGTCATGACATGGTGCGAGCGAGGAAAGCGGCGGTTAGCGGGGGCGTGGGGGGGGGGGGGGGACGCCGGCGGCTGGACTCGCTGCACGAGGTGGTCAGGGGAGGCTGGATGGAGCGGGGGGTAGAACGAGGGGAGGGTCAATGTATACATGTCATGGCAGAGCACGCGTGGACGGCGAGGGCTGACCGATGTTAGGGCGCGCTCGCGACGCCGTGATGTGATGGCAGCCGTCGGTGGGCCATGGTCAGGCGGCGCATCACGGCAAGCGACGTCGCTGCTTCAATCTCTGACCACGGCGGAATGGACCTGTGTGCGCGGAAGATCCGCTGCGTTGCGTTACTGGATCTTTCACGATGCGCATGATCTGTGTGGTGGTGCTTGTCGCCGTCGGTGGCGGCCGCCGCCCGCCCGCTCCCGTGCTGTCTGCCTGACGCCTCTCCGCCACATCAGGCCCTGATCCTGGCCAGCCACGGCCCGGACGGCCCCGCGCAGGGCTCCAGCTTCGACGAGGACTCGGCCTCGTTCTTCCTCGAGATCCTCATCAAGGTGGTCATCCAGAACCGGTCAGTGCCCGTCGCCGCCGCCGCCGCCGCCGCCGCCGCCGCCGCCGCCGCCCGCCGCTTCCGTGTGTTGATGGTTCATCGTCCTATTTGGCGGAAAGTCCGTTAGCCACCTTACCCACGTGCATACAACTTTTCATTAGATGCAATCAAGCCTCATGTTTGATTGCCCAGTCTTAATGCGTTAATGGGAAGTTAGCTCGACTGGTCAGACCTAGCAAAGCCTATCTGCCTTTAGCTTTCGTTCAATGCAGTCCATTATGATGACAATTGGCTGCCACGGGTGACTGTAAGAGTGTTGGTGCTGAATGCGCCCGAGGCGGCAGCACCACTGGTGACTGAATGGTTTGCCTCTCTCCCCGGTGCGCACCACTGGTGGGTCCGTGGTGCGCCTCTGCCAGTGTGCACCGCTGGTGACTCAGCGGTGTGCCTCCCTCCCCGTTGTTCACCACTGGTGACTCCGTGGTGCGCCTCTCTCCGCGGTGTGCACCATTGATGAGTATCAAAGTGTGCCTTCCGTCTCCCCTCCACCGTTGCAGTACCACTGCTGACGGTCTCGTTGTTGTTGTCTCGGAACCGTAGCACCACTGGTGACGACACCGTTGTTGCTGTCTCGGCACCGTGCACCACTGGTGACGGTCCGGTTGTTGCTGCTGTCTCGGCACCAAACACCACTGGTGACAGCCCCGTTGTTGCTGTCTCGACACCGTGCACCACTGGTGACGGTCCCGTTGCTGCTTCTGTATCGGCACCAAACACCACTGGTGACAGCCCCGTCCCGCCGGCTCGGCAGGGACCGCGCGGCGCCGCTGTGGCAGTCGGTGCGCAACCACATCTACTCGGTGGTGATGTCGGCGTCGGCGTCACACCACAGCCAGCTGATGGAGCGCGGCATGGTGGGCCTCATCAGACTGGTCATCCGGCTGGTGCGGCGCGAGGAGCTCACCTGCCAGGTACGCACGGCGGCGCGGTGGCCGGCCACGGTACCGGGCGGCACCTGCCAGGTCCGTGTACCCGTCGCAACGCTGTCGTGTTGCTAGGGAATCTCGGTCTTGTGTCTTCGTTGTCGTTTTCGGTGTCGATCACGGTCCCTTTACACTCGTTCCTGTTGTGCGCACGGCGAAGCGCGCTCCCCCTCCCCTCCCCAGCCGTCCCTGCGCCTGACCGGCCGCCGCAGGAGCGCTCCCCCTCCCCTCCCCAGCCGTCCCTGCGCCTGACCGGCCGCCGCCGCGCCGTCGCCAGGTGCTGCAGTCGCTGCGCATGCTGCTGCTGCTGCGCGGTAGCTGCTTGCAGCAGGTGAGCCGGCAGGCGACAGCCGGCCTGCACCAGCTGCTGCGGACGGCCGCCGGCTCGGTGACGGCCGCCGCCGACTGGGCCGTGCTCTTCACGCTGCTGGAGTGCGTGGGCGCCGGCGCCCGGCCGCCGGCCGTGGTGGCTGGCGAGGCGGTGCCGGCGGAGGCGCAAGGTCAGTCACACGGTCATCAGAGCTCTTCGTAACGGGCACGTGAAGGTCACTCACGGGGTCACGAGAGGGTTCCGTAGCGGTCACTGCCACGGTTTCATGCACGTGAGGTCAGTCAAGGGGTCGGGGGAGGCCACGGGGTCATGTACGCGAGGCCACTCTCGAGCGCTGGTGTCACGTGACGAACTGTCGGCGGTGTTTCGAGTCTGATTGGCGGTCTTGTTTAACCCGTGTTTCATCCGCTGAGAGCGGTGTGTTTGGGATAGTGGCCCGTGCTGTGTAACTGAGACGTGTGAATCAGCTCCGAGGTGATTCGCGCCATCACACCGTTCACACAGGTGCTCACCTCTGGTAAATTGACCAGACTGAACTGGTATGTAATCCACTCATCTGTGTGCACTGTATCGATTTAATAGTACCTGCGGAACCTATTTGATGGTCGCGTCTTAACCCGCCCTGACCCGACCTGACCTGACCTGAACTGACCTGACCTGACCTGACCTGACCTGACCTGACCGGATCCCCGCCTGTATTGCAGCCGTCTCCGACACGGAGCAGGTGGCCAGCGACGGCACGCAAGACTCGGGTAACGCGTCGGACAAGTGCTACAGCGACTCGGAGCTGTACGAGCCAAGAGGTGAGCGCGGTGCCGGCGCCGCCTCCTCTCTGGCGCCGCCACCGGCCACACACCGGACCGTGGGGTTAAGGCGGGCTGGGGCACCACTCGCTGGCGCCGGCTGTCCCAGCATTGGCCGTGGGGAAGAGATGCGTCATATGCGGTGCAGGTTTTTTGCGACTGCGGGTACCGGTTGTGTGATGTAGTCGTTGCCGGCATGGCCACTGATCAGTTTCACCGGCGTGGCTTGGCTATCCCGGCAACCGCTGCAGGCTTCTGACTGGAGTGAGCGCTATGCCCGTCAGTGCAGGGTTCTGTCGTATGTCGACTCTTGCCTCAAAGCACGTGACTTTGTTCTCATGCTCCTGTCCACCTACGTGACCTTTGACCGCTGTGTGACCCCTATGCGACCCCTGCGTGACCTCTAGGTGACCTCTGTCTGACCCTGGTGGGACCACTATGAACCCATCTGACATCTGTCTGACCCTTGTGTGACACCTGTATAACTCCTGTCTGACCTCTGTGTGCCCCCAGGTCAGCAGCCGGGCCTCCGGCCGCAGGGAGCACCATTCCACAGCATGTCGGAGCTGTCGGGTCGCGTGGCCTCCGAGCAGACCCGGCCCGCCGGCACCGGCGGCTGGATCCTGGTCAGTAGCCGGTCAGCAGGTCAACAGGTCACCGCTGTCAGCGGCGGGCGGCCGCGCCGAGGCGCTGACCTGACGCTGGGGCGGGGCGGGACACCGGCCCCAGCCGGCGGGCGCGGGGAGGTGCCGCACCAGCCTCCTGTGGTGCCCGGCAGCCGCAGCGGTGTATGCCAGTAGTGGACTGAGGGTGGGGCGGGGGCGGGATAGATTGTTGTCACAGAAGCAGAGTCAAGCCGTTTGCGTCTGGTTTTGATGCCATCAGCGAAGAGGGAAGGGGGAGGGGGGGGGGGGAGCCGACAACTGGTATGAGCCCCAAGGAGGACCCGCGATGTACTGATGTGCTAAGACCTCCCAGTGTACCAGAAAGAAACCAGAAAGTTATACTTCCTACTGCTCTCAGAAACAGCGTTTGATCTTTGACTCTTGAACGACGGCGTTGCGCTCCTGCTATTAAAGCTAAAACGTCCCTGAAAAATCGCCACGCAAAAATTATTTCACAGGTAAACATTTTAGAAGTCGTTTTAAATGGTTTGAAGCGTGTTTCTTAACGTGAGGCTGGCCGTGTGAGCATATCAACACCATTTTCTGATCTACTAAATTTGCTACTGGTTAGTGACTTCTTTGCAGTACCAGACCATGCTGACGTGGTGCGGCAGAGGCGGTGGTAGGGGGCTGTGGCTCAGTACAGCCCAGGCCGGGTCGGACGGTGTGTGACCTTACTCTGTGTTGTCGGCAGGTGGGCCGGGCCGGACAGTGTGTGACGTTACTCTGTGTCGTCGGCGGGTGGGCCGGGCCGGACAGTGTGTGACGTTACTCTGTGTCGTCGGCGGGTGGGCCGGGGCAGACGGTTGTGTGACCTTACTCTGTGTTGTCGGCAGGTGGGCCGGGCCGGACAGTGTGTGACGTTACTCTGTGTCGTCGGCGGGTGGGCCGGGGCAGACGGTGTGTGACGTTACTCTGTGTTGTCGGCGGGTGGGCCGGGGCAGACGGTGTGTGACGTTACTCTGTGTTGTCGGCAGGTGGGCCGGGCCGGGCAGTGTGTGACGTTACTCTGTGTTGTCGGCAGGTGGGCCGGGCCGGGCAGTGTGTGACGTTACTCTGTGTTGTCGGCAGGTGGGCCGGGGCAGATGGTGTGTGACGTTACTCTGTGTTGTCGGCGGGTGAGCCGGGGCAGACGGTGTGTGACGTTACTCTGTGTTGTCGGCAGGTGGGCCGGGGCAGACGGTGTGTGACGTTACTCTGTGTCGTCGGCGGGTGGGCCGGGCCGGACAGTGTGTGACGTTACTCTGTGTTGTCGGCAGGTGGGCCGGGGCAGACGGTGTGTGACCTTACTCTGTGTCATCGGCAGGTGGGCCGCGGAGGGTGAGATCGAGCCGCTGCAGATGCGCGCACTGCCCGTCAACCAGTTCAACATCACGCACGACCGGGAGGTGCTCTTCCACGACCCGGTGTCGTTCGCCAAGGCGGCCGACAGTCTGGCCTTCCTGATCCGCGACGCCGCCTACATCACGGCCGACAACTTCCAGCCGTGCGTCCAGTGTCTGCGCACGTTCGTGGAGGCTGGGCTGCAGGCGCGTCTGGCGGCTAACAGGTGAGGGGGGTGAGACTGACCTCGGACCGGTGAGCTGTGATATTCAACCTGTGACCTGTGACTAGTGACCAGTGACCAGTGACCTGTGACCTCTGACTTCTGACCAATGACCAGTGACTTCTGAGCAGTGACCAGCACCCTGTGACCTCTAACCTGTGACCTGTGACTTGTGACCAGCGACCTGTGACCTGTGACCTCTGACCTCTGACCAGTGACCTCTGATCAGTGACCGGTGATCTCTGACCAGTGACCTCTGACCAGTGACCGGTGATCTCTGACCAGTGACCAGTGACCTCTGACCAGTGACCGGTGACCTCTGACCAGTGACCAGTGACCTCTGACCAGTGGCCAGTGACCAGTGGCCAATGACCTTTATGCGTGTGTGTGCGGCAGGCCGGCGCCGTCAGCTGGGCCGGGCCGTAAGAGGCGCGGCCGCCGCCGGGACGAGGGCCGCCCCCCGCCGGCCGCCGCCGCCGCCGCCACCACCGCCCGCAACTACGACGCCGACGAGAGCGACTCGGAGGCCGAGCTGCCGGCCGGCTACCACCAGATCGCCATACAGGTCAGGACGGGTCAGGTCACGAGGCGGGTCACGACGGCGGCATGCCAGCGGAAGTTACGTCAGATTAGGGTGGTTTAGATCACGTCGGATCACGAGAACGGGGGTACCGGCAGGTGGTCATCTAGATCAGGTCAGGTAAGGTCAGATAAGGCAGATCAGGTCTCCCGGGTCAGTGGGTGGAGTTCACCGCACATGTCAGAGAAGGTGGTCTGGCACCACCAAATGACAGTGTGGGTCAGTGCACATAGTGACAGGTGACAGGTCAGCAGTGGAGGTCAGCAGACAGACCAGGCAGACCAGCAGATTGTCCCAGTGGTCCCGCTGCACTGCTCTGTGGTACGGTGCTTGGGGCCGGTCGAAGAAGCTATTGGTACAAAACAGTTGTGATTCTGTATTGTGTCATTGCTATTACGTGATTCTCAGGGCAATGTGTATGGGCTTTGTCGCCAACTGTCATACACGACTTCCGCATGTTCTCCGTTTTCCCACTGTTGTCAGCTGCTGGACCCCGTCTCCCACGTCCCGTGTCCTCCCCCGTGACAGCTGTGTGTGGCGGCCGTCTGCAGCTGCTGGACCCCCGTCTCCCACGTCTCGTGTCCTCCCCCTTGACGGCTGTGTGTGGCGGCCGTCTCCAGCTGCTGGACCCCCGTCTCCCACGTCCCGTGTCCTCCCCCGTGACGGCTGTCTCCAGCTACTAGACCTCCCGTCTCCCACGTCCCGTGTCCTCCCCCTTGACGGCTGTGTGTGGCGGCCGTCTCCAGCTACTAGACCTCCCGTCTCCCACGTCCCGTGTCCTCCCCCGTGATGGCTGTGTGTGGCAGCCGTCTCCAGCTACTAGACCTCCCGTCTCCCACGTCCCGTGTCCTCCCCCGTGACGGCTGTGTGTGGCAGCCGTCTCCAGCTACTAGACCTCCCGTCTCTCACGTCCCGTGTCCTCCCCCGTGACGGCTGTATGTGGCGGCCGTCTCCAGCTGCTGGACCTCCCGTCTCTCACGTCCCGTGTCCTCCCCCGTGACGGCTGTGTGTGGCGGCCGTCTCCAGCTGCTGGACCTGATGCACACGCTGCACACGCGGGCGGCCCACATCTTCGGCTGGTTCAGCGAGCCCAGCCGCCGCGGTCAGCTGGACAGCCTGTGGGAGGGAGGCTGGTGCCCGCTGCTGCAGGGCATCGCACGCCTATGCTGCGACCCCCGGCGCCAGGTCAGCCGGAGAGGGGCCGGGCAGAGGGGAGGTGACGGGACGACAGGCCGGAGGCAGGCTCGCGTCCCGTTGGTGACGGCCGAGCCGTTGGACATGGCGCTTCGGGTGGTATGTGAGGGAAGGGCTTCATGGGCCACCGATTTTATTTCGATTAAGTATGTTCATGTGTCGTATGTTATGTTTTTCGGTTAATTTGTCTGCCATGTAAGTTTTCCCGACTCTGACAACGTTGATCATTGATAATCAAGCACTGATCTTGAAGCGACCCAAGAGGAGCGCCCTGTGACCTGAGGAGGGAGCGCCCTGCGACCTGAGGGAGGGAGCGCCCTGTGACTGAGGAGGGAGCGCCCTGTGACCTGAGGAGGGAGCGCCCTGTGACCTGAGGAGGGAGCGCCCTGCGACCTGAGGAGGGAGCGCCCTGTGACCTGAGGAGGGAGCGCCCTGCGACCTGAGGAGGGAGCGCCCTGCGACCTGAGGAGGGAGCACCCTGGGACCTGAGGAGGGAGCGCCCTGCGACCTGAGGAGGGAGCGCCCTGCGACCTGAGGAGGGAGCGCCCTGCGACCTGAGGAGGGAGCACCCTGGAACCTGAGGAGGGAGCGCCCTGCGACCTGAGGAGGGAGCGCCCTGCGACCTGAGGAGGGAGCGCCCTGTGACCTGAGGAGGGAGCGCCCTGCGACCTGAGGAGGGCGGACAGCGCTGAGCCGTGTTTCAATTTCATGCTCTGTAGTGAGTTCGAGCGGCTGACCGAGCCGCCGAACCTCGCCGCGACCCTGACCCTGACCTGGCCTTGACCTGACCTCGTTCGGGCGGCAGGTGCGAGCCAGCGCCGTGACCTACTTGCAGCGCTCTCTGCTGGTGCACGACCTGCAGGCGCTGGCGCCAACTGAGTGGGAGGCCTGCTTCCACAAGGTCAGTTTGACGTCCGCTCTGGGCTGCGCTCGGACGGCGCTGCACGCTCCACCCGCCCGCTCGCGAACCCCGGACGCGGCCACACGCTTCCCCGACACACGCAAGCACGCGCGCACGCACGCACGCACGCACGCACGCCACGCACGCACGCACGCACGCACGCACGCACGCACGCACGCACGCACGGACGCTCGCACGGACGCACGCACGCACGCTCGCACGCACGCCCACACGCACGCACGCTCGCACGCACGCCCACATGTGATGTTTTCAGGCAGGACGCGTGGCGGTCCGGGACTCGCGTGCGACTCAGCCGGCGCAGAGCGGCCGACGCGTGGCGGCGGTGGGTGGGGCCGAGCGTTCCGCACTTGAACAGCCAGCCCCGCGGGCCGGGGCGGCGGCGCGCCACGGGAGGGGGAGAGGCGGGCGCACTGCCGGGGCTGGTGGTCTCCTGGTCTGCTCCATCAGGGCCTGGCTTCATGGGGTGAAGCCACAAGTGTGCGCTTTTTGGGACCACGACGTGTAAGTACACGGGCGAGAAATCGGCTTGTTCCGCTGAAGGTGTGTATTCGTCAGTGCTGTGCTAGTAGGTGCGTCGGTTGAACTGCTTCATCTGTTGAAAGCATTCATGCGACACAATTTGAACTTGCGCAGATTCGTAGTTCAGTTCTGTGAGGTTCTTTCTAAAGAGAATGTAATGAAGAAACGAAACACAGTGCTTTAGATCGAAAGCCACAACTTGAAGCCGCTGGTCGACGGCGAAACTCACCAGCAAATGGATGGGATGGGAGTGAAGTGGTTTGGAATGAAAATAAATGCAAGCCACGGGGATCAAGCCCGCCACAAAAGGTCTTCGTCGCACTGTTTTCGCTTTGTTGGACGGGTAGAATATTCGCATCCCCAAATAGCTCGTTTGCAGCCAACACGCGAACTGCTGCCGGTCTTGTGTTATGTCGTAGGCCTCAACTCTATGTACTGAAATGCCACCATAGGTGAGATGCCGTAAGGTGGCCCTCGCCTTGGATCGGGCTTATGTCAAGGTCAATGCATTGTGGCGCAACGGTCTACCTGCGTAACTCGGAAACAGTTCTAGCTCAGAAAGGTCACGGTAGTGTTCGCCGGCTGACTGGACCCAGTCTGAGCGTGCCCTGCCACACTAGCCCTGGTCTGAGTGGAGTTGGCGGCTTCCCTGAGCACGCGCTTGTGCAGGGGCTCTGGTGATGTGAACCGACTCTGGCTTGGCATTAGCGTGGCCCTGCTACCCCGTCAGACGCCGTGTACTCCCCGGCTGATCACAGCCTGTCCCATCCCCACCTCACCGCCTGCCCACAGCCCGTCTCATCCCCGCCTCCTCGCCTGCCCACAGCCCGTCCCATCCACACCTCCCCGCCTGCCCACAGCCCGTCCAATCCCCACCTCCCCGCCTGCCCACAGCCTGTCCCGTCCCCGCCTCCCCGCCTGCCCACAGTCTGGCCCATCCCCACCTCCCCGTCTGCCCACAGCCCGTTCCATCCCCGCCTCCCCGCCTGCCCACAGCCTGTCCCATCCCCGCCCCCTCGCCTGCCCACAGTCTGGCCCATCCCCACCTCCCCGTCTGCCCACAGCCCGTCCCATCCCCGCCCCCTCGCCTGCCAACCGTCTGGCCCACCCCCACCTCCCCGCCTGCCTACAGCCTGTCCCATCCCCGCCTCTCCGCCTGCCCACGGCCTGTCCCATCCCCGCCTGTCATGCTCCCCGCAAGCCAAGACGTGTGCTCGCCCGCCCCCTTCCGCCATAATGAAGTTGCCGTACAAACCCTGACCTGGGCCGGCCCGCCGTCTGATGGGCGCCGTGCAAACTGCGATGTTCCGCCCTGCGCCGAGCCTCCGACTGCCGCACAAACGCGGAACGGTCCTGCTCTGCGTCCGGCTCTGCTGGCGTCGTATAACTCCAGTTGTCTAGCTCACCTCACGGCGTCCTGCAGGTGCTGTTCCCGCTGCTGGCGAAGCTGCTGGAGCCGTCGCCGGCGGCGGGGCTGGAGGAGACGCGGATGCGGGCAGCCACGCTGCTGTGTAAGGTGTTCCTGCAGCACCTGACGCCGCTGCTGTCGCTGCCCACCTTCACGGCGCTCTGGCTCACCATCCTCGACTTCATGGACAAGTACCTGCACGCCGACCGGGCCGACCTGCTGGTGCGTCCTGTGCTGAGGGGTCGGGGTCGGGGTCAGGGTCGGGGTTCGGGTCAAGGTCGGGGTCGGAGTCGGAGTCGGAGTCGGAGTCGGAGTCGGAGTCGGAGTCGGAGTCGGAGTCGGGGTCAGGGTAAGTGTTGGTGTCAGGACCGAGGCCAGGGGTGGGTTGAGGTTCAAGTCGAGGCTCAGGTTTCGGCTCCGGCTTCAGTGTTCCGGTTCCGGGCCGGGGCGAGGGGGGGGGGGGGAGAGGCAACGGTGGGTGGTGTGCTGTCTGCATGCTGGATGACGGGCGTGCCCTGGCGTCTGTGGCAGCAGTTGTGAGGTGTGGCCACCGGAGCTGGGCCGGGTGACGAGACTCTCCGTAATAACCTCACAGTTGGCTGCCGTATCCACTCAGACATACGTGTTTCCCCGCCGCCCGTCGGCCCGGCCTGTCGGGCACACGTCTGTCCACCTGGCACGCGTGAGTGCAGCCCCCGGCGGCGCGGCGCCTGACTGTTGTGTCCGGCCGCAGCACGAGGCGATCCCGGAGTCGATGAAGAACATGCTGCTGGTGATGGAGACGGCCGGCATCTTCCACACGTCGGAGGGCTTCACCCAGCTCTGGGCCATCACCTGGGACCGCATCGACACCTTCCTGCCGACGCTGCGCGAGGAAGTCTTCAGGAACCACCCGCCCAGTACGTGCGGTGATGTGTCGACGGACCAGAGGCGCACACAGACCCGCTCCGGACACACGGATTACCGCACCGGCTAGCTGGCGGCTCAGCCGGCGGCTCGGTGGGCGTGCTCCGCCGTCTGCGGCCCTCTGGTAACGCCGCCGTGTTCGCCTCTGTGGCGGCCGGCGCCGCTCGCTTACACGTGTCGGCCGCCGGCCAGATCGTAGCCAGGCGGTCGAGGCCGCTGCAGTGACGCGCCAGCATCACCCTCCGCGCATGGCGTGTACCGTTGTACCAGCGGCTGGTGCGTGCATCGCTGTGCCACCGGGTGGTACGTGTGCCTCTGCCACTGGCCGCGGCATCGAACTCGAACCGACGCGCGCCAATCCGGCACGCCTGGAAGCACGGCAGCGCGGATGGCCTGATCTGTGCCCTTTATCCTGTAAGCGGAAGTTCAGGCGACGGTCTCAAGGACGAGGTTCGTTGAGGCGACGCTCCGTGGCACAAGTGCCCCGGCAGTTACGACGCCATTGGGCCTGAACCGCCGCCGTATCGTCGCCGTTTATCGTGTGCTGTGCGGGGCTCGTCGGATCGTCATGGTTCCCCGCTTGTCGAGTGCCCGCCGTCGCCTGCCGTCCGGCCGGCGTGGACTGCGTGGCGTCACCAGCGGATGTCTCCGTTTTCAGACGAGATCAAGACGACCGCGAGCGGAGCTGACCTGAGGTCACCGGGCGCCGAGCCGCAGCCGACCGTGGCGCCCAGTATGAGGGAGGTGCGGCCGGCCAGGTGAGCGCCCAGTATGAGGCAGGTGTGGCCGGCCAGGTGAGCGCCCAGTATGAGGGAGGTGCGGCCGGCCAGGTGAGCGCCCAGTATGAGGAAGGTGCGGCCGGCCAGTTGAGCGCCCAGTATGAGGAGGTGCGGCCGGCCATGTGAGCGCCCAGTATGAGGAGGTGCGGCCGGCCATGTGAGCGCCCAGTATGAGGGAGGTGCGGCCGGCCATGTGAGCGCCCAGTATGAGGGAGGTGCGGGCCGGCCAGGTGAGCGCCCAGTATGAGGGAGGTGCGGCCGGCCGGGTGGGTGCGTCACACTGGCTGGTCAGCGGCGCAGCGGCCGCCCCTCTCCCCCCCCCCCCCCCCCGGCCGCTCCTGTCGCACGCTGGCGGTGTGTTGACATGGACGTTACTGACAATGAGCCGGGTTAATCAATGGTAGATGGGTTCGTATGTGTGTCGTCATGTTGGAGTGTTGGCTATACACGTAGCGGGCAGGGGCGCAGCGCCTGTACTGCGGACACTGTGCGTGTTTGTTCTGCGGTCAGCCGGCTCATCTCGGCTGCCTGGCGTACCTTTTGTCCCCCTGTTGGGTGACTCTGGTGTTGGGGTTCTGGCGTGCGAGAAAGCGGTCCTCTGACCTCATTCTTAACCTCCGACATATGACCTTTGGCTGCTGACATCTCCTGCTCACCTCTCCCTCCTTTCCTGCCCTCTGAACTCATCACTCTGCTCTGGCAGTGGATTCGGTACCACAATGCTGACCCTGATCTCTCTCTCTCTCTCCCTCTCTCTGTCCCCTCTCTCTCTCCTCCCTCCCCCCTCTCTCTCTCCCTCTCTTTCCGTCCTCCCTTTCGTTTTCTGCCTCCCTCCCTTCCCATCTTCCTCCCTTTCTCCCTCCTCTCTTTCCCTATCCCTCCATTCATCCCTCTATTCCTCCATTTCTCCCTCCTTCCCTTTCTCCTTCTTCCCTTCCTCTTCCCTCCCTCCCTCCCTCCGCGTGTGCTGGCCCTGACCGCGCCCCTGGCCGCGCGCCGAGGCCTCTCCGGTGACGGCCGTCCCCCGTGTGCCACAGCCCGCTGCACCACGAGGAGCTGGTGCCGCCGGCGCCGGCCGTGGTGCTACACTCGCCGCTGCCGCCGGCGCCGGCCCCCGCGGCGCCGCCGCCGCCGCCGTCGGCCCAGCCGCCGTCGCTGCCGCTGATGACTCTGTCGGCCGGGCCGTCGCCGGTGCCCGTGTTCCTGCAGCCGCTGCCGACCGTGCCGACGGCCGGCGGGCCGGCGCTGGGGACGGAGCGGGCTGCGGCGCAGGAGCAGGCGGCCGGGCCGGTGGCGGCCGGCCACAGCGCGGGGCTGGAGCTGTCCGCCGCGCCTCTGGGGTGTCGCCGCCGGGCCTGGCCTCCGAGCAGCCCGCCGTGCCTTTGGTGATGCTTCCCACCTACTCTCCTGACGCGCCGTCTGTGCCTTTGGTCACACCCGCCTCACCGCCCTCCGCCCAGCCGGCGGCGTCGCCGATAGCGCCGCCCGCCTCCTCCTCCTCCTCCTCCGAGCCTGCTCTCGTGCCGCCGGCAGTGCCGCCTCAGCGCCCGGCCGCAGGCGACGTCAGCTCGGCGCCAGCTGACGGCGCCGTGACGTCAGCAGCGACAGCTGGCCCGCCGCCGCAGGCCGACGGCTTGCCCATGTTCCGGATGGAGGCCGCTGCGGTGAGAGGGCTGGGGCCCTCGCTCACTTCGAAGCGACTGTGGTGTTTTCCACAGTGTTCGCAGCGGATGGCATTCAGATCAGTGCCATTGTATCCCTGTTTGTGTTGATGTCCGGTGCAATGGAAGCTGACGCTGACACCGCCATTCAAGGTTTCCGTTTTTATGAACATGGTTTTGCAAACCTTCGGAACACGCCTCTTTGGACCGTGACCTGGAACGGTCGTCGGCTTTCAGGGTGGCAATCAGCAATCAATCAGCTGGTGCCTATAACCCCAGAACAGCAATCAATCAGCGGCAATCAGCTGGTGCCTATAACCCCAGAACATTCAAAACAACGGAATATTGTCGCTAACACTTCTTCAGGTCACAACCTCATAACCCAGGACCTAAAGTACTGCACTGTTGTGGAGACCACTATGTCACACTGACCTCCAGTAGGACTTTCGTAAATATTATATAGTAATCAGTAGATGAATGCGCTACCAAAATATATTTTCCAAAATATATTTTCTCGTGTTCTTTCGTCCTGTTATGAACCTCTGGCTGGTTGTCGTGTGAATGGTTGCCAGGTAACGGTCATCACTGTCACATCTGGAGTTTAGTCGATACACACTACCTCGTGCCTTGTCGTCGGACGTCTATGTGGTGGAGACACGGCCAGCGGAGCGCATTCGGTGGTGCTGGAGTGTTGGTTTGCTGAATGGGAAACGGGTGGCCGTCTCACCCAGCATTGCCGTGACGTGATGGACGTCCAGGACTGATGACTGATTCGTCGTCCAGATTCGTCGTCCCTTTTTAGTCCAGACGTCCAGGACTGATTATTTCCATTCCTTTCAGAGCACCGACGACTTCTTCAGCAGATGAGCGTGCACCGACCGCTCGGCGATAGCCGTCCCATCTGTTGGGGCCGGTGGTGAATCAACGCCTCATCGCGGTCCACCAGGGCGGCGCTGTTCACGATCGGGTCGCGTGCCAGCCGCGGGCGAAGGCGATGTCTGGATGGTGCCAGCAATAGACGCCCGCGACTTGTCGAGTTATGTTCTGTGTCGCGAAGGCGCGGTGGAAATTCCCGCACGAGTCTCGCCGCGACGCAAAATGGCCGCCAGTGACGGGTCCTCGCGATGTGCTTCGAGTGCAGCCGGTTTTAGCGCAGCGACACTGGGCAGAGCCGCAGCTATCCGCTCCGTCTCGCTGCCTGCGCCGCCCGCGCCGCCCGCTGAGGGTGTGAAGCGTGTGGCCGGGCGGCGGGACCACGCGGTGACGAGGAGGGCCGCGCCGGGCGCGGGTCGGCGGCGAGGAGGGAGCGTCGGTGGCCCCGGGAGGTCACGAACGCTGACGTTTGTCGGTTGAGCCGCCGCCACCCCCTCCCCCCATCCCCCAGGGGCTCGCGAGCGTCGCCGACCGCCACCTGCGCCGCGCGGCTGGAGGCGAAGCCGGCAGTGACGCGATGTGCAGTACCGCGTCCGTGGGGGTTACACGGGGGGGGGGGGGGGGGGGGCGGTGGTCCGGGCCAGGTTCTGTTCGCAGGTTATCTGATGGCACCTGAGGGAGGCGCTGCCTGTCACCGTGCGAGGTGTGCTGCACGAGCACTGTAGCTGGAAATTGACCCGTGGTTTTTCTGTTTTAAGGTGTGCGCTGTGTTAAGTGTCGTTGAAATATCTATATTTTATTCGCGGTGGGCGGGTAGGCGGGGAAACGACTAATAAACACAACGTTGGTGTGATGCTGTTGCCTTCTTCCTGAAACAGCGGTCGACAGAGCCAGTGGCCATTTTCGGGCTGATTAAGTTGAGCCGATGAAAAACCTTTCACGAGGGAACAATTGCCTCAGACGTTGAGGGTTGCCTTTTCGACTTCTGTTCCGCTCAACGCCGTGTAAAAGCCAGCTGTCTGCCGGGGCTGTCTGGCGCTGCCGGCATCGCCGGAGGACGCGCCTCCCCGCAGAAGACTGCTCAAAAGCCAGGCCGGTCTGCCGCCAGGGGTCAGCATGTCATGGCCGGCCTGCCGCCAGGGGTCAGCGTGTCATGGCCGGCCTGCCGCCAGGGGTCAGCATGTCATGGCCGGCCTGCCGCCAGGGTCAGCATGTCATGGCCGGCCTGCCGCCAGGGGTCAGAGTGTCATGGCCGGTGTGTCAAAAATGAAGATCTTAGATGAAATAGGGCACTTTTGCGCGGACGATTTCGGTCGGTCAGTTTTGTACTGCTCAGATTTATGATATTCCACTCAAACATCAAAAGTTCGTTGATTTCGGCCTCTTCCGGACTTTATTGTAGACATTTCGGTCCTCGTGGCACGCTTCAATCCGGGGGAATTTGACACACTGGCCAAACCCGACCGTTGCAGGATCATAACCCTCATACACGGGATGTTCGGTGCACAAGGATCTAAGACGAGAGCGCAGAAGAGGCGGCTGTCCGTGTACGGCAGGACACACTGCCAGTGGACAGGCATCTGTCGGCTGATGAGAGGAAAACAGGTCATTGACCTTTAGGCAGGGACTGAGAGCGGGCGGCAAATTTTTTTAGACATTTTCAACTCTTTTGTTCGTTCATGGCCGTTTAGTTAGGGTCTTGGTGTTGCGAGACTAAGCAGAAAGGTAAAGGTGGAGAAACGCCCGTTTCAACAACTAGCTCGGTTGGAACGCTTACCTTTCAATTTTCCCACCTGTGACGGGGTGGGTTCCAATCGCTTTTGACACTCGCTATTTGTTCCCAACCGGCATGGCCTGCAGCCGATGGCAGCTGGTGCGCCAAAGGTCAGGCCGCAAAGGTCAGGGCACTTGTCGACGGTCAAGACGGGGCGTGCCGAGCATTACGACACGTTAAGCTTAGCCGTGGAATTCTGCCGATGATCAGGGGATTTGTACGATTGGGCGTTGGCTCTGATTTTACGCAGCAGACGCCAGGTAGCGTGGGTGCTGGCCCCAAAGATCCATCCAATCAGAATGTTCGAATTAAACGCAATGCAAACTACGACCATGCCAGGCTCACTTCGGCACCAAGGCACTCCACATACAAAGCCCAGGCCGGGATTGTGCGGGTTCTCTGACGACATGTTCAGCCCAGAGGCAGAAGCAGAAGCACAGGTCTCAATGTTAGGAGCTTTACCATGAGATCCGCGCCTTTTGCTCGCGTTTGATTTGTGTTAGAAACTTCAGTCACGTTCATCAACCGCATCGTTCAAAATGCCGGGTCTGTTGCCGTTCTTACCATTGTTTCCATCGCCCCCGCCACCTGAGCGGAGTTTTTTGGGGCGACCGTCTGCCCCCGGCGGAGGCAACGGCCCAGCCCAGGCAGCGACCGCGCCCGGGCCGCCGGGACCGCCCCTCAACAGCGTCAAGCATCGGTCCTCCTTCCCCTATCGATCGCCCGGCCGCCTGGCGGGCGACCCGCGAACTAACGCCAGTCCCTGCCGGCGGTCGCGTTGGGAAGTGGCACCCGCTGGAAGTGCAGCCGCGATGAATTTCCTCTATGAGATCAGTGTGCTGCTTCTGCTGTGCGCTGTGGGAGGTGAGTCCATGCACGGAAACTCTCCACTCGCAGAAAACCGCCGGCGGCGATTAAAGCTCATCAAAATACGCTCATTGAAAAGGTTCACTTTGTCTTAGCCAAGACATTTTCTACGCTATTTCGCGTACGCCTCAGCGTGTATGTGTTGAGATGTTTTCATCTTGCGGTCTTGATTTGTCCCCGTGCAGAGATTCGTCCACTGCGTGCGCCCCGAAGCACGCGCAAGCCCCGCTTTATTGGTGACAAACAAACTCATCTCCGCTTATAGATAAGCCAGTAGTAATGGCCTTATTCCTCGTAAAAAAACAAGGAGAATGGAGATATAGCTGCGTTAATATTTCGGCAACATGCCTTTATCGAAACGAGCAGGAAAAGCGCAATACACATTTATCGAAACGAAGAGCAAAGTAGCAACATGTAAACTGGCAAAGTGCAACAGACTTCTACGGAAACGACTATCGCTTCTTCTATTCATTTCGATGCAGGCATGTTACCGAAATATCAAGATATCTATATTTTTATTCTGCTGGTTTTCTACAGAGAATGAGGCTTTTACTACTGTCTTGTGTAAACGCATAATGTATCTCGCAAATGCCCCTGACAACATACGTTACCCCGGTTGAGTCCAACAACCCAGGTGGGCGCTTTAATCGAACATTCAATACTCGGGTCGGAGACATCATACCTAGGATAGCCAATATCAGTCCTGGCGGGCGGTAAATATTAGCATTGCCTCCGGCACTCGGAGTCAGCCCGCTGGTGAGTAAGACAGGACATTGTGAGGTGAACTATTTGCGCGGGACATTGTGAGGTGAGCTATTTGCTTCTTGCCATCCGAGGTACAGAGCTAACAGCAGGTTACATGGATGCCCAAGGGGACGCCGAGCTGGTGTATGGTTGGGGACATTCGGGTAATAGGTGTGGGTACTATGAGTGCTCAATAGCCTGCGGTGCAAATCGTGCAAACTATGCGCGATATTTCGGTGGCTCGTCTGGATTTAGGCGGGGCAAGCTACCAGTCCGGCACTTGAGTGGTTACGGAATTGTCAACAGCCCCGCCAGCTTTGTCTCTTGGTGATCGACTCACAATGACCGTGATCTGAGATGTATATTAACGCCTTGCCGAATGTGAAAGCTAACAAAATACAGAACATGCCGTTCTGCTCACACCGCTGACAGGGCTTTCCAGCAGGCTTTCTCACCGTAATGTCATGCATTGTGTGACTGACGCACATTGTG